TCCGCAGGAAGCAAATCGACGTGGCCATCAAGGTGCTGAAGAGCGAGAACGAGAAGGCCGTGAAGGACGAGATGATGAAGGAAGCTGAGATCATGCACCAGCTGGACAACCCCTACATCGTGCGCATGATAGGGATCTGCCAGGCCGAGAGCCTCATGCTGGTCATGGAGATGGCACCTGGCGGCCCACTCAACAAGTTCCTGTCCTCCAGGAAGTAAGAGCCCCGCTACCCACACTCCTACTGCACTGGAGGACGGGCTCTGGGATTACTGAGAATCTGATAATAACAGTCAATAACAAGTGGTTTCGGCTAAGGGCTTTTTCCCCCATTTCCCCTACGCATTTGGAAAATGGCATCACATTTTCCAAAAAACAAGCACCATATTTTTTCCCGTATCCCAGGATCACGTTCCATCTGCCTAATGCTCCTGAATCTTTAACATTATTATGATTCATCAGTGTTGTCCATTTGTTTTCAAATGCAGCCGCAAAGAAACAATTGCTCATCACAATTCTCACTGATCCAGAAATAGATCACAAATCGTGCTCTTTTTCTACTGGTCTCTTTCCTGCCTTCAAAACGCCGTGTCCACCTTCTCCCTCTCCTCCTCCGGCACAGGGAGCAGATCTCGGTGGAGAACGTGGTGGAGCTCATGCACCAGGTCTCTCTGGGGATGCTCTACCTGGAGCAGAAGAACTTCGTGCACCGGGACCTGGCGGCCCGGAACGTCCTGCTGGTCAATCAGCACTATGCCAAGATCAGCGACTTCGGCCTTTCCAAAGCCCTGGGCGCCGACGACAACTATTACAAGGTGGGATTTCCGATTGAGAAACGCTTTCTTGCACGGTGAAGTGTTCAGTCTGTCCAAGCAAGGACAGAGGATCAGTGGAATTGGACAATATCAGACATTTACCCATGGGGAACAGAACAATAAAAAATTTGGATTAAAAAATCCTTAAATATTCAAGACAATAACAAAATGACAAGACCGGCAGGGAAACACGTTCCAGCAAACTTGAAGCCTTGTAAGAGTTGGCACACAGATGGTTAGAGACTGTGAGAAAGCATTCCCCTTGGTCCATAGCGACCTCACTGCACTCGACTCACGCTGGCTGTGTCACATGACTTATTAACCCCCTGTCCCCAGAATCCGAGCTCCCTCATTGCTTCCCTTCCAGGACGGACAGAGAGGACTTCCTTCCTTCTCAAGATCTTCTCTTCCCCTTCTCTCTTTACTCCTGTAGGCCTAGACACCTTTCACGATCTAGCTCCCCCACCTGACTTACACCACAGCGCCCAGAGTTAAAACACTCTCCTAGACTAGCTTTTCACAACCGCCGTGTAAGTTAAGGGTTTGCAAGTTTGACAGCCATAAAAAACGAAAATGGAGAACTTCTGAGAGTGACTGAGAGCAATAATCGATTCCTTACAGAGTAGGAAGACAAACTCAGATTAAACATTGAAATAGGTTTTGTTTCTAATTTTAATAATTATGTGCTTGGGGAGGGGGGCAGTTTGCCGCAAAAGTTTCATATTTATCTAATTGGGTCATGGGATGGAAAATGTTGAGATACTACGCTCCACCTGTCCGGCGCAGACCAGTGAGCCAGGAGTCCCACGGGCCTGTGCATCAGCTCAAGAAGGAAGTCCCTTACAGAGGGTAACTCTCTCTGCTTCCCAGCTCATCCCAAGTGGTCAGAGACCCTCTGCCATAGCAAACAGACAGTTTGGTGTTCCTTCCCAGCTGCAGTCTGGCTGCAAGCTAGATCTCACCCTTGATCACCCTCGCAGACGTGACTAATTCTACAGAGAGCCTTTCTGTTCACCCGGGGTGTGCTACACTCATAGAGCTGCTCTTTTCAATGAGTCCACGGCCACTTTGGCACAGGTCGCTCCGCAGCCGAGACACGGATGTGGGAATGGAGGTGCCGTGTCTGAGTGTGTCTGCCCTGTGTCTGCAGGCTCGTACGGCTGGAAAGTGGCCCCTGAAGTGGTACGCCCCGGAGTGTATCAACTTCCACAAGTTCTCAAGTAAGAGCGATGTGTGGAGTTTCGGCATCACCATGTGGGAGGCCTTCACCTACGGACAGAAGCCTTATAAGGTACGACCGAGCACATGGTTTAGAAATAATTTGTAAGAAGTCTCTTAAACAGTAGATTCCAGAATTAATTAAAATATAACATTATATAGACCATCCTTCTGAGACAGAATTATGCACTCATTTATTAAATATAAATTGTTCTACTGTATGAAGTGTAGTAAATACATTAGTACTATCAGTGATATCAATGACGTTGTATGTGGTAATTATAATGTTCGAGCGACTTTGGTCATTTCAGTTCTCCAACCCCATATATCTCCAGCACTGTAGGTGTACAAATACATACTCTTTGGTTTGTTGTTCCAGAAAATGAAGGGCCCGGAAGTGATCAGCTTCATTGAAGCAGGAAACCGAATGGACTGTCCATCTGTCTGTCCAGAAGAAATGTACACCCTGATGAAAGACTGCTGGATCTACAAGTAAGAGCCGAGAGCACAGGCCAGCTCCAGTGGTCCCACGTCCATCCCAGATCCTCCTCCTCCACATCCCGTCCTTCTCATATCCTGCACAGTCCTTTAAAATCCCTACATGCCGTGTGAAGGCAGTATTGCTCCTGGGATAAGCATGGTGACTTTAGTTGCTGCACTGAATGGACGTGCCCCATTGATTTGACAGAATCGAAAAAATATTTTGTATAAAAATAAAATAAAAATATTTTCTGATGCTGTCTTTTTTTTCTTTCTTCCCAGACACGAGGAGCGGCCTGGCTTTTTGATTGTCGAGGAGAGGATGCGGGAGTACTATTACTCCATATCGAAAAAGACGACGCCTGCCACTCCGACCGAGAAGCCCCCAGAGGTCGCCGTCTGAGCCGGGGGGGCCGGGGGGAGGGGGCAGCCGTGGTGCTGCCGTGCAGCTGCATTGCAGAACCCGGATCCCAGCGCTCCCTTCCTAACCCCCCTGCAGGATCGGCGAGGAGCAGTTCTAGCAATGGGCTGCGACGGCAGAGCCGAGGACGTCTGGCGCTCACCTGTCCTGGGAGAAGAGCTGTCTGGCGCAGTGAGCCATGCAGACCCGACCGGCAGGATCATTTCGTCACCCAGGAAAAACAAAAGGCTTTGTTCTGCTCTAGGACTGTTTCATGCAAATCCTAATCTTTCTATCTGACAAGGCGGGGAGACGGGCTTTATTGTGCACAGAGCTGGGCGCACACATGATGTCTTGCAGAACATTTTAGCAACATTCGTGTTTTTTTTTCCTCACAGTGAACATTCTGCCCTGTGCTTTTTTTTATTCAAAATAGTTTTCCAAAAGCACCCTAGACACTGCATGGAGACTCCTTTTTATAGACAAGCCACAACAGTCCTTGTCTTCTCTGTAGGAAAACTTCAGGCTGCCCACTCGCTAGTAAATGAATCAGATTGGCTTTTGGACCACAGTCTTGCCTACAGAGAAAACCAGGTCCAAACTGCCTCTCAATAGAGCTTTGGGCAAACTAATACTTGCACAAGCTTTGGAGAAGAATGTTTTCTGTTCCTGACAGTTTTTTTTTTGTCTTTCTAAATAATTTAGATCTTGTGAACTTCAGTGAGAAGCTCTTTAGCTTAAACAGTATAAAGCTGTTTGTAATTGTAATTGCTGTACATGCATAATTCAACTTTGATATTGTCTTTTTATGCTGATACAACTGCAGTTGCAAAACCTGATGAAATAAGAGTTTATTTATAAAAGCAACTTTATAAAATTGCTTTTATAAATCCAGAATACTCCAGGTCACTTAGGGATTTTTATGGTCTGAATGGAGTATCTGCTCCATACGTGTTAAGAATTAATTTCTCTTATGGGTAGAAAAAAAACAAGTATTTTAGTTCTGCACTGTGTTGGACAACAAAGAAGCCCTGTTAGGATCTGTAGATATCAGTTCTAAAGCTGATATAATTCGCCAGCAAGAGACTTCCTTTCAGGTATTGATAAATACTGTGTTTTACTAAAGGCAGGGGACAGCATGTTAGAAAGCAAGAAATAATTGGCTGTGAGGCCATTATTTCACAGTAACCCTTAACAGTGGGCCACATCTCCACGTGCATTTCAATGAGTCATGTTCCAGTAGAGCAACACTGAAACTGAAACAGGAGAGCAGAGAGTATTGTTAAGAGGATTATACATTTATGCAAGACCATTAGTCCTCAAACTGGTAGAAAAACCAGAATTCCCTGTGCAGCACAGCCAAAGGAAACAGGAAAAACACCTCCCTCTTCTCCGCTTTGTTTTGGTGTTTCTTCAAACTAAAACCCCTCTCGGTTCCTGTGTTTCATTCTCGCCACCTGGGGCAGTGGAGCCGCCCGCGCAGGTCTCGCTGAAGGAGGTCCAGCAGCATGTTGCCCCCGCAGCTGGACAGGGGGCCTGTGGCCCCACAGTCACTGTCGCCACACAGAAGGCCTGCAGGCCACCCCCTTGCACAGGCGAGAGAGGACGAGGTGCTTTTCTTTTAAACTACATTTAACCAACTATTATCCAAGCCACTTTGACTGTCTTCATTCCTTCTTGTGATGGATTGAGTCTGATAGGCTGATAATGTACCTGTTAGACTTTTGATTTTTACTGCGATGATTATCAAAGCCCTCTTTACAGTAGCACATATTTGTCTGTGAGCTGCATATTTTCATGGCAAGCCTTAAGATTTCAACTTTTTTTTTTGAGAAATACAAATTACATGTCTGTCATTACTTCCTTAATACCTGTCTTTATGTATTTTTGCCTTGGAAGGGAATTCTGTTGTTGTTGTTTTTTAAATAAAGATAATTTACTGTTTTAATATTCTTAATTTCTCTCCAGTGTTGTATGATAGAGCCAAGGCGATCTGTGTGTATACAGTATTTGCTTAGAGTAAGCAAGTGTAAAGCTCAAAGACCAAATAAGCATTTTCCAGCTACTTCCTGAAAGTTTAAATCATTTTTTCACCCTCACTTTTCACTTTTGTATTCACTTTTCAAAACATGAAATTAAAACACCCCACACAAAATGACAACACCCGATACATTTGTAAGAATTAACAAGGTGTATATACAGCAAATTCGTCTTGGACATTGAAGTCATCCTAAGGGCCCTTCCAGCCCCTATCTCTGTGGCTCTTTTGTGTGCGGAGATCCCTCAGAAAGATATGGGCTTCAATCATTTTCACCAGGGCCACTACCTGCACTGTCACAGCACCGATAACAGGCAGCAGAGGAAAATGAAATGGCTAACCTTAGATTAACATCTCTGCTGACAGAGATACTACTTTGCTGAAGCACACAAAATAACTGATGACTCTGTTAAGGCTAACACAAACACATCTGACCCACAGCAGCCATAATGTGCTCTGATTTCTGTCTCACCTATATCGCTAAACTGGAATCACCTGCTTAACTGGGTTTAGTGAACATTACAGTCTCGAGAACATTAGGTTCTAGTGGTTAGTTAGGGACAACATGAAGAGGCCACTAAACAGCTTCTACGCCAGCTCTGCTATGCAAAATGTAGTCTCTTCCTGCAGTCCCAGCAATATGTGTCAGCTTTTAGCACATACCTGGCATTTAATTTCCCTTATATTCAGTAACCTTTGCTTCTAGAATCTCGACATAGAGATCAAAATGTACTTTCACAGTCGTCCACAAGAGGAAGCTGCCAACACGTATATCTTTCTGCTGCTTAGTCATTCTCCTCTACTCCTGCAAGCAGAACAAGGCCAGAGAAGGATCTTTTACTGATCTTCGAAGGCTTAATAATATCCACATGAAGTGTCCTCCTCCAGGCATCATGAGGGCTCAAGTCCAATTTAGATCCATCCATCTTCCAATTGGTTCATCCACAATTTAGATTAGTTACGCTTAAGATAAGATCAACTTTATTGTTCCCCAGGGAAGCGTTTTCTGGACACACAGCACTTCTCTACATCTGAATACATCAAGGTGAGATGACATTAAATGTTTTTTAATGAAAATAATTTGCTGTTTTTTTAACAATCAGCAAAACATTTTCTCATCATGTTCAGTGGGTCCTGTACAGGCTTTAGAATCTAAATACAGAGTCATCGGACGATTCACAGTGTGGCCTGAAACAGGCCCAACAGAGAGTACTCCTCATGGTCCTTGGGGCTGCTGTGCCCTGCTTTAAGGCACATTTGCTCATTAAGGTCTCCAGAGAGTGTTTATGGATTAGAGAACAGAGCGAAGCCTTAAAAGTTAAGTCTTAAAACCGATTCTAAAAGGAACAGGAAGGCAATACTGTATGTCTGGGACAGGGGTGGGACAATCAGGTATTCTTGGCTCATTCTGAAGCCCTGCCTGCAGCGTTCTGCCTGCGGGCCGGACAGAGAAGAAGCAAGTCCACCTGCCCAGCAGCTCTTACAACAGCCCAGCCCAGACAGGACACGAGCAGTTTGAGTTTCCAGGACCTCGGCCTGCAGTTACCTGAGCTCCAGCTGCGACCAGCCGCCACACGCTGTCCAGTGGGCTCTGGTCCAGGAACTCAGTGCCTGTTTCAGGAAGAAGCAGGTCTGCACACGAAGCTGCTTCTCGGGTTCGTTAGTGACATAAGCTCGGTGGGGAATGCAGGCCGGCGGGGTTTTCCTGAGGGTTTTCCCACAGCAGGAGGAATGAACTACTTCCCCAAACGGGCTGAAAGGCCAAGCAGCAGAAGATTCCCGGCTTGTCATTTTCAACACCGTTCCGCGCCGTGTGGGAACGTCTGCTGTCCTCTCTGAATGGCAATGTGGTCAGGGTGATTCCCAGTGTGATTGTACCTCCAGTTCTGCCCACGTGCCTGTCGGACAGGAGCTGACCACCTGTGGCATTCAGAAAAGAAATGCTGACGTGTCCCCAGCAGAGTCGATCCTCTCATCTTCGTCAAAGCAGAAACCATCACTATAAAATGACAGAGCCTATTCTTGGACAGAATGACAAAATAAATCTGTTTAGCTTATTTAAGTATTGAATGGCCTGGCTGTGCTGTCCAGAAGAATGGGTGATTCTCAGAAGTGCGCTGTCTTGAGTCTCGTGGTGCCGTGGGCCCGCCGAGTCCCTCGCACTGGGGTCCAGAGCTGAAGGGGGCACATCTTTGTGCTTTCTCACCGAAGAGCCAAAGACCCTTGGCTTCAGCCAATAAAAGGGGCCCTTAGTCTCACAGTGGTCCAGCTGCAGGACCTACAGTGTCCTACATGAGACGCATGTTGCTTGAATGGACCTGTTGGGTTTGCCAGCAGACACATCGACATGTAAGCTGAATATTAATTATTGCTAAGTGGAAGTTTATGGTTACTTCTAGGCAGCAACCATTGTTATGTGTAACCAAACTAGCAGTATTGTGAATATGGGACAAGTAAAGGTTTATTCCATGCTGAAAAGAGAAGAGAAACACAAGGTTTCGGCTGTGGATTCTTCTCCTGGTGTGGAATTGTGAATATTTTGTATTGGCACGACTGTATGTCTTCTAGTTTTTGCTCATAGTTTACTGTTATCTGCTGTACATGATGAAATTGGCGTTTCTCTCCGTTAGTTAATGCATCTTCCTGATTTACAGACTCTTCGCAGGAGGCCCACCCAAGCTGTTTTTCTGCCCAAATCATCTGATCACTTGAAGGACAGTAAACCGACAACGTCATTCCGTCTGTGTTAGTCTCCCGGTGAACTGGTTTCCAGTCCGAGGCACCTTGCAAGGCCGCCCTGGGTCAATTGCAAGAGGGCCGACCTGCAAGATCGTGTCTAAGCAGGTTCTGTTCTTCTGGGCTGGAGGTGCTTTAACGGCCAGAACCGCCGAGGCACCGGGGACGGAAACTTTGAGCTCCCCAAGAAAGCGCAGCGGCGCCATCACACGCCCTGCGGGCTCAGCGGCGGCCGCAGATGATCACCCGTGAGGGAGCAGGTAAAGGCTAATTCTCTGCTGAAAGATAAGGAGTAGAGACTCAATGTTTCGGCCGTGGGGCCTTCTTCGGGTGTGCAGAAGAGGAAGACTCCGCAGCCGGGACGCTGCGTCTCTTTCCCTTTCAGCAGGGGATGAACCTTTAGCAGTTCCTCGGCAGCCCGCGCCTGCTTGGACATAATCACCCGTGTCTGCGTGCGTGACTGGACAGTGCAGCCCCGAGAAGGCTGTCCGTGGGGAGCCCCCCCTCGCCGCGGCGCTGTCGCTTTAAGCCCGTGACGTGTCGGGGGAGGAAGTGAGCCGCTGCGCACGGGGAGGGGCCTCGCCGGTCGCGCTCGGCGGAGGGGAAGGAGACTGTGCAAAGTCTCTCGTAATTCAAACTCCGGCTGGTGCTGTTCGGGCTCGCAGCTGCGCTGAAGGAGCACCCTGGTGTCGGCAGCAAGGGAGGCGAGCCGCCGGACGAGAACGCGAGTCGCCCGGGGAAGACCGGCGCCCTCTGAGCCTCCAAGTAGGTGAGAAAACAAAAAGTACAGGAAAAGAAAGTGAAAACGTCGTATTGACCCAGAATTTTTAAAAAATGCTTCTTTGATTCTCACTATGGAAAAGGGGAAGCCGATAATTGTGTTGGGTAATTCGTTTGGCATTATTGACGTTCGCAGGTAGAGCTTTCTTTTTTTATTCCCGTGCCTTGTGGCAGTTGACTTTTTTTTTTGTAAGCAAAAGTTTTTTTTTTTTCCTCTGCGTCCTGCATGCACCGGTCTCGCGTACGGGTGAAGTAGCGCTTCTTTCACGCCCCGGAACACATCCTGTCTGTGGATTTCCGAAATCTCGACCTCCCCCGGCTCGCGCTGGCGGGCACACGCACCCGCGTGCCGGCCGGCTGCCCGCTCGTCCGCTCGCCCGCGACACGCGTGGCCGGGCTGCCCACGGCGTGGTCGCGCCGCTGGAGTTACTTTGCAGCACTGGGTGGGTGGGTGGCCGGCCGTCTCCCGCAGGAACGTGTTGCTGCTCGACTGGAGCTGTGATCGCATCGCCCTCCCGCTGAGTGTTGTGAACCCCGTGCATCGGCGTATTTGTTTTAAACATAAAAAAAAACATCACTCTTTCGCTACCCAGTGGGTGACTAAAGTCGCACAGGGCTAAAGTAGAGTTACTTTTGAGAATCCGTCTTCCGTTCACAGCACAGAGGGGGAAAACAGGTTGATAAGAGTAAAGAAAGGACCGGTCACTCTTGCCGGTGGAAAGCAGCAGACCCCTGCTGGGCACCAGGGCAGCGTGTGGGGAGGACGCGTCACGCAGGCTGCGCAGAGTGGGCCTGGCGTGACCAAGTCCCGCAGTGGCTTGTGTCGGGTGTGAAGCAGCTCAAACGCAAGCCCGCGGTTAGCAGTGCGAAGACGGCCGAGCAGCCTGCGGGTGTTGCTGTGAAGACGCTGTAGCCGGGAGCATGAAACGGGCTCATGATCTCCCCCCCCCCTCTGCTGGCGCTGGCTCCATCCCCGTCCTGTGCTCTTGGACCGTTCGGCAGCCTTTAACATCCTGGTTCTTGGCCTGGAGTGTCTCCTGCCTTGCTGACGGGCAGGTGTGTTAGCCCCGGAGACCCTGATCCCCCCCGATCCAGCCTCTGTCCGCCCTGCGGCCCGGGGGCTCGGGCCTCAGCCCCCGCCCTCTCGGTAAGTGCACCCTGCCATGAGCCCAGAGCTCCAGGAAATCCGCGTTCGACTTCCACTGGGATCTGCTGTGCCTGCCGGACTCCTCGTGTTGCTCGTTCGGCTCCGGCCAGATGTCCTGGAGGTGTACAGCTGTGGCTCGATTTAAAACCATCTCCGGTTAAACGAGCACAAGCCCAAGATTTTGCCCCATCAAGTCTCTAAATCGCACTTCTGGTGAGAAATAGTTTCCTCAAATTCTGTAAAAAAAAGCGTCCTGCGGGCTCCGGGCCCCACAGTGCCGGCGTCCTGCGGGCTCCGGGCCCCACAGTGCCGGCGTCCTGCGGGCTCCGGGCCCCACAGTGGCGGCGTCCTGCGGGCTCCGGGCCCCACACTGCTACAGAGCTGTAGGCCCTTGGTACTGGAATAAACGTCCTGCTCATATGGAAGCCTTTGTTGATGTCTTGCTTCAAAGCGTAGTTGGTTTTGATGGCCTTCTTTCTATTCTTAATATAATTCTTTAATTTCACATTTATACAGGCTCCTATTGTACTGCACCTTTTATATGCATCATTAACTGTGTGCAGGGTGCAGTGAGAATGCCCTGTGGTTGAAAAGTGCTGTGTGAGAAGAAACCCGATTGACTGCAGTTGAATTTTGGGCACACTGTAGCTCTTCCCCCTTTGACATTTTAATGTGAGTTTTTCCCTTGCAGACTGCATTGTCTGCTCTAAAGCATTAACACAGAATCATTCTTAATCCTGCACCTGATGTCCTGAGGAAAATGCTCGTGCCCCAAGTGCGAACGTTTATCTCCTCAAAAAGCCCTTCAGGATTCTGAACGGAATCTGAACAGGTGTCGCATCAGTTCCGTTTGGGCCTGAACAAAGCAGCTCTTCTCCCTAAACTTTTAAGGTCCGCTCCAGAAGGGTTTTTATACCCGTCTTCCAGTTCTGGGACTGGTACTGAAACTGCTGGGAATGGTGTGTAGTCTTCATTGGTCGGTGTGTGTTAAACTCCTTCTCCTGACTCCAAATGATCCTTCCAGCCAGCAGTACGTCCATCAACCTGTTGTTTCATTGTTTTATCCAGCACAGGGTCACAGGGGAGCTGGAGCCTATCCCAGCAAGCAACAGGCACAAGGCAGGGTGCACACAGACACACACACACTCCCGCCAGGGCCAGCCTTCCCAGAAGCAGATTGATTTACCAGTTTGTCTTTGGGCTGAGGGAGGAAACCCATGCAAATGCATGGAGAACATACAAACTCCACACAGACAGCTCCCCAGGTGTTTAACTCGGGGCCTCAGCGCTGGGCGGCAGTAATGCTGGCCACTGTGCCACCGTGCTGCTCGCCAGCAGTACAGCGTCTTGGCGTTGTGACCACCGGGCTGGGCGCTCATCACACCCTCTGACTCGGGACCGCCTCTCTCCTTCGCCGTCTCTCCCAGGTCCCATGTGCAGCCCGAGGAAGAGCTGTTCGCCTTTGCCATCGGAGTGAGGCTCACCCGCCCTCTCGCCCTTCCCATCGCCCCGGTCTCTCGCCCACCACCGCCACCATGTCCCTGGCACTCAAGCAGGTCTTCAACAAGGACAAGACCTTCCGGCCCAAGCGCAAGTTCGAGCCGGGCACGCAGCGCTTCGAGCTGCACAAGAAGGCGCAGGCCTCCCTGAACGCGGGGCTGGACCTCAAGCAGGCCGTGCAGCTGCCCGCGGGCGAGAACCTGCACGACTGGGTGGCCGTGCACGTGGTGGACTTCTTCAACCGCGTCAACCTCATCTACGGCACCATCTGCGAGTCCTGCACCGACCAGTCCTGCCCCGTCATGTCTGGCGGGCCCCGGTACGAGTACCGCTGGCAGGACGAGCACAAGTACAAGAAGCCCACCGCCCTGCCCGCCCCCAGGTACATGAGCCTGCTGATGGACTGGATCGAGGTGCAGATCAACAACGAGGACATCTTCCCCACCAACATTGGTAAGGTGTCTTGGGGGGCGGGGCTGGGGCAGAGTCATACGTGTGGGAGAGGCTGTGGGTGGGGCTGGGGGCGGGACAGCAGCACAGGGTGAATTTAAATTCCTAGGAAAGTAAACAAACAGATTCGAAGACATATTCCCTCCATACCCTCTTGTGAATTGTGAATTAGAAGGATGACATCTTCTTAATTGCACTTGAAAGTTTTTTAATATTTACATTTTTTAAATTTTTTTTTTACTCCTTTAATTTGACGCCACCCTTTAACCTGGCACCTGGTGTGACAGCCCCGAGTCTAGAGACGCTGTATTGCTGACCAGGGTCCGCAAAGCCATCTCTTACAGTCCCCTTAAATATTAACTTTCCTTTTACTGAACCTCTGTAAATGCAGCTTCTGTCGCTGAAAATAGGACAAGACGCGCTCCTCTCTATAGCACATCTGAAAATAAACCTCTGTTCCAGGTTACGTCTTGACTGGCCAAAATTAGCACTGCTATGTTTGAAGCAGTTCTCTAGAAGCGCTTCTGAAATGCACCATGTACTTTAGCTGTACCAAAAATAAGTCATTCTCATTCACCTAGTCTGTTGGAAACTCTTCTTATTGTTCTGTGATGGATAAAAGGTGTCAGTTGTCAGTGAGATTTTAGTTTCAGAGTAGTAGCAGAGCTGAAAGCAGCACAAAGAGCCCCTCGGAACTCCATGCTGGGAATGAGAGAGAAGGTTATGTCCTGCAGAGGTGGTACAGGAAACCTCTGGCTGATTCCAGCATCTGTCCTGAACGTGTAATGGATCCAGACAAAGAGAAGAGCCACAGAATCCCACCTGAACGGTATTCTGTAAAAAATGGCTTTGATATGTCTCGGGTTTTTCAGAATCCATCTTGCAAGGATTTGGGGGTCTAAGTGTCTGTGGCTGGGAGTGCGGTCCCTGTACCCAGACAGCAATCGTACTGACCCTGGAATGACACAGGCGTGGAGTCCTTTGACAGGACCAGTTCTATAGTTGCATCACAATTAGAGCGACTGTCTCTTCATAATCAAAACCATTTAAAACACCAGTCCTGATGGCTTTACATTTCATTTCTAATACTATATCAGATGGTTTGCAAAGGAAGCACCATATATTAGCGCGCAGATATATCGATCTAGTCTTCGATTTAGCTGCAGAGGCTGACGGGTGAATTATACCGCTTGCTGCGTACGCTCTTGAAGAAGAGAGCGCTGTCTGCCACTCCTGTGATCTTGGCAGGCTGGAGTCTGCTGCAGTGAGGGGTCAAGCCTTGTGATCATGTTTCGGATCAGGCCGAACGTCACGTGGCCTGCCTCCTGCTTCAGTCAGCTGCCTGGCTGCGCCGGTTGGCCTGACTCAGTGCTGTGTGCAAATATAGCAGCTGTCCAGCAGCGCGGATGTTGGCTGGCACAGGATGATGATGTCATCATAAATTGACATTGCATACCTGGTGCTTTCGTCTTAACCGGGGTCGTTCTTTTGGAAATTTAAAGACACGGGTACAATCTTCAATTTCCTCTTCCTTAGTCTGACACCTTCCCGGTTACAGTAGGCTTCTGATCTTGTGATCCAGCAGTGCTGTATACATCTGGTCTCTGGAGCGGGAGCGAGCACTGCGCGGGGTGGCTGGGAATGAGGCTGCACCGGTTTGAGCCATTTCGGGTTTCCCACACGACGCCTTGTGCACTCGGCCTGCGTCAGGGGCTGGGAGTGATCGCAGGCTCATCACGGAGGATCCCCAAACTAATGCCTTGCATTCAGCAGGGGGATGCACTTCAGTCTCCACTGCAGTGCAGGCCCACCTGGGTGACGGGCGTCAAGCGTCCTGTAGCAGCCACGACACTGGTCACCAGCTCAGGTAGAGACATGAGCAAGCTCCCCCCCCCAGCTGAATGAAGGGGGATGATGAGGGAGGCCAGATTTCACAAGCCAAGAGTGGAATTTAGCCAAAAGCACCATGACATCTTATAGACCCAGTACTTAGGACCTCAGGCCTTTACTGGGGCACTGGATTGGAAATTCTGATCCAGAGGGAAGAGGGATCCATCTACCCGTCCCCTGATACTTGTTACAAATAACTCGTGTTCTAATATATTGAACTTGCCGGAGTTCAAGGTGCCTAAAGTTTTGGATTTCTTGTTTTCTTGAAAATGAGTTATATTTTTCTTAAGCTTGCAGCCAGCACTTTACTGTACTGAGATTAAATCACGGATTCATGGAGGTCAGCTGCATTATCTTTTCACTTTGCGTTGTGTAACTGTTCTGCGTCATTACTTCGTCTTCAAGTTCCTGTGACTCACTCCCCACTGTGCTCGGTGTCGCTGGCAGGGCAGCAGGGCTGGGCTCTGGGTCAGGTGTTGTCAGACTGGACCATAATTGAATTTAGAGGATCATAAAGGTTTCACATACAGCTCCATGATCTCCGAAGTTGATATGAGACCGCGGTTGATGTACGGTCAAGTGCAGATGTTATTTAAAGGTTTAAAGATTTTGTTTTTGTAATTTGAGGAGATTTGCACAAGAATGTTACCTTTATTTGAACCGAATCCGAAAGTTACAGAAATCAGCTTCTGCCATCTTGGAATATTGAAATTCAGGGAAGACGGCTCCTTCCCAGAAATCAGTGGAAAGGATTGCAGGGTGCGTAATTCGTTTTAGAGGAAGTGGCTAAATAAAAATAACTCTGGAAAGTTCAATACTTTTTTGCTTATAATATTGAATTGAAAGTATACTACAGTACAAAAGCCCGGTTAATAACTTCACCTGTTGGCCGTTTTCCCAGGAAAATGGGTTTGTCACGTGTTCAGACAATCACCCTGTTTTCTGCGGCAGGTGATTTTACATGCTGCATTGTTGTTGTTGTTTTTTTTTTCGTATTTCTAACATCACCCCAAAAGCAAGATTTGGAATGTGAGAAAGCAAACAAAAAATAACAAACCAGGAGAAGCATGGGTCTCCTCGGACAGAGGCTACAGGAGCTGCGGTTCGGCGGGTCTCTTGTAAGAGGCCTCTGGAGAGACCTTGGGGAGCGCGGTGGAACTGGAGCCCTGACGAGACGAGCTCTGTTTAATGTTTCATGCTGCTCTCGCTGTATCTCCGGCAGCAGGAGGGCTGAACGGTTCTTGGAAGGGTGGCTTCCTGGAAAAATCGGGCACAGCGGTGAGCTGGCATTGATCCTGCCAAAGGAAAATTTGCACCCATAGGACTAAGCCTTTTTCGGATGTGGTCTTCCTTTGAGATCCTTGTGATCATTGGTTTTGTTGACACCTTGTCTAATTACCAACTAAGATCAAGTTGAGTAGCTGGTTAAAGTCTGTTCATTGACTGGGGACAAGTATTTAGCACAGCTTGTCCTAGCTCTGCCCTGTCTTGAGCCAGGAAAGCCTGAGAACGTCGTGGCGCCGCCCTGTCGATGGTGCCCCGCAGCTTGGTGAGCTCTGGTCACCGCTGGCTAGTGGCCCGAGACCCAGGCTCGAACCCGGGACGCTTGAATCGGAGAGCTCAACCGGGCACCCCCCAGCAAGCACCATGAGTGGGTGAGTTATTCATCGGGTGCAACTCTCTCCTTCACAGGTACGCCCTTTCCCAAGTCCTTCATGCAGGTGGCAAAGAAGATCTTGTCTCGGCTCTTCCGGGTCTTTGTCCACGTCTACATCCACCACTTCGACCGGGTCAGCCAGATGGGGGCCGAGGCCCACGTCAACACCTGCTACAAGCACTTCTTCTACTTTGTCACCGAGTTCAACCTCATAGACCACAAGGAGCTGGAGCCCCTGGTGAGCAGGTCTCTTGTCTTTTGTCTCTTTCGCTCCGAGGTCTGAGAAATCAGATGCAGAGACTGAAAACGGAGTGGAGGAGAGAAGGAGGGGGTGTAGTGCAGCGATCACGGGTCTGGACGCCCGACTGGAGGGTTGTGGGTTCGAATCGCAGGTGGGAACGCTGCGGCTGCCCCCCTGAGCAGGGTACTGGACCCTTACCCCGTCTGCGCCAGCAAGCCCGGCCGTGCAGAAGTGCGCTGGCGAAAAAAAAGCTAAATGCATGACTGCGTCCTCTCAAAGTCACCCGAGTTAAAAAGGTTTCAAAAATGATGCTCTTTTTAAACAAATTTTAGACTCGCTGAATAGTGTTTTGTTTCACATGCCCATCTGGTTCGCCAGTCGTGTGCCTGTCAGATCTGCCCTTGTGGCTGCAGGCACGGCAGCCTCATGGGACAGGAAGAGGAAGTGCTGACTCCGCCCCTGAGCCACTCATCTGCTCACAGTCGGCACGGCCGTCGCACCCTTGAGTTAACCCTGTCTTCCTCTCTGGGTTCCTCTTGCAGAAAGAAATGACGTCCCGGATTTGCCACTGAGAACAGCTGATTCCTGCCTTCGTCTTGAGCTGTGTTGGGGGGGGTTGGTAGCCGAAAATACATTCCATTTCATAGCAGCTTTCATAGGAGACCGCTTGGAAGACTGAAAAAGACAAAGATTTTATTTTTATAAATACTGTCTGTTTATAGGGAGAGAATTTCTGCTAATCCTCTGCTTGGTAGAGATGAGATGTTTATCAGAGTTCAGTATTAAGCAGTTTTAAGTTTTCGTTTTTTAATTGGAGCCTACCACGGAATTCCACCAATTCATGTTTTTATTTATGTTTTAAGAAGTACGATTATCTCGGTTTCAGACAGTTCCTCGCTGAAGAAGCACAATGAGACCTTACGATTGTGTCACTGCATTCTGAAGCCTGGGGTTCATTAACAGAGCAGAAAGGGGGGTACGGGTTGTGTGTTTCAGGCTTTCAAGATAAGACAAAGTTAAAAGTTCATGTAAAGGATTGCCTAGTGCTAAATTGTCCTTCTCCAAACATTTTTGTTCAGTGACTTAGAAAGTAAATGTTTTTCAGACAGCTATTTTGCCAGTTAGCTGTTCTAGGTTTATTAAACTCTCATCCATCCTACCAAGATGAAATTAATATTTAGAGTAGATTAATTAAGCGAAGGCCCTGGGTGCGATTGCTTATGTCCACAAGTGCACAGGCCTCTGCACAGTCATTTGGACTGTGTAGAAATGTGACCGTGAAACTCCTAGGATGGACTAGAGTTCTGTAAACTTAGAAAAAATGTGGATGTTTAAACACTTTAATGAGAGTTTAACGAGTTCCTAAATGTAGTAGTGAAAACGCTTTCAGAGAGGGAGAGAGCCGTGACTCATTTCTGTAACCAGATGTATATGAGCTGTATTGTTTAATGGCAGCTCCCTGGTGCTCTCAGATTGGTGTACAAGCTCACTATGTGCTGCCCTCCTCCAGAGTGGCAGTAGGCGACTGAAGGGTTTGAGTAGCAATCTGAAATGTTCTGGAGTTAAGAATGCTCTGCTAGGAAGGACGACAAGGAATATACAGTAAGGTGCATTCTGTACCTGCAGCTTTTAAGCATGCACCTTTTTAAAAAAAGTAAAGTCGACAAATATATGATTGCAAACCCACTGGATTTCTTGTTTTTGGCAATGACTCTCCTGTACTCTGACACATCTGCTGGGCAGAGCTGGGCATCTTTGTCTGCAGCTTCTGGAGAGGGTGCAAGCTGGAGAGACACAGCCTTGGCTGATGTTGCTGCAAGGCTACGTTCACCTGGTAGGGGGCGCTGTTGTGCCTGATCCTAGCCCTGCATCATGCACCACTGTGGGGAGAATTCCAGTTGTAGGATAGATCTTTCAGCAGCCCAAGACAACATTTAGACAAATGCACTTGGGTTAACTCTTAATTCTTTAAGCAATAATATTTTTTTTTTCGTTTTCTATCTGTTACATTTGAGGTGTTGATCCTCAAAAAATATATTCCATGTTTTCTTTCTAAAATAGCATTCAGCAGGTTCTCGGTCATCTTGCATTTTAAGTGCTCTTAGGGTAGTGCGCAGCTGTGTAGTTCACATTTCACATCAACAGATCCGAGGCTTGGGATTCCTTCTTTTCTTGATCATAGTGAACTTATTGACGTATTTACAAGGACAACTGACACTTCCTTCTGGCAAACATTCTTGCTACTAGTTCAGAGCAGTAGCCGTTTTTATTGATGGGTTCCTTCCACCAGCCTGGACACAAATGCAGCTAATGAAATATTGACTTTTCAAGTTCACAGTGAGGCCATGGTGACCCTGTTCAGGGACCTCCTGGACCGGTAACACCAGCTTCTTGCGTATGTGTGATGGGTGCTCGGTCGCAAAATGTTTAGTGTGAGTAGGCTTCAAGGGAGTGACATTAGTTCTGTACCAAGCACAAGCACTGTGCCACTGGGCCCTGTTACACAGGACCTGTCCTTGAACACTAGCTTCTGTCAATTTTTATAAAGGCATGCTGTTCAACTATGAGCTGACTTGCCCCTAATAAGAAAACAGTCAGCTCATGGTGTTTGAAATATATTGCTGTATTCAGCCCTTGGTACAGTGGAGAGCACTGCGAGAAGGGGTTGAAGAGGCCACGGAGAATGGTACGATTGTCATTGTGGCAGCACAGTGAATAATTGAAAGCAGAGATGCAGTATCTAGCATTCCAGTGTGAGCTACAAAGAGCCTTTATACTCAAAAGCCGTTACTAACCATCTTTAAACTGTGCGCCCCCAAGCAGTACTCTTCCTTTCCTCTGGAGTGGCTCGGGGGAAGGGAAATTGGAAGCCCTGTCACCAGCATGATCTTCAGTCACGAGGAAGCAGGAGCCAGAACTGCACAGGAACGAGTCACGTCCGCTGGTTCAGCTGTTAATCCTTTTTCTAGTCTGAGGCTTTCCGTTGTGGAATGAACTTGTTCCTGCACTCCTTTCTTGAGCCTGACCTGAAACGGCTCAGCCAGTGGTTTTAGAAATAGTTCTTCCCGAGCAGAAATTGAGCCGATTTCTGATACTCCAGCATCCCCCTTCCACCCTCTGAACACTCTGTTACTGCCTGTATTATCCAGCAAAGGTGGCGTAGTGATTAGAAAGCAATTGTTCCATCATTAATTGCTTTCTCAAAGAGCTTGCTGATCTCTCTTTTTTTTCCACTTGGAGTGGAAACAGACTGCGTTTACCTGTAAGACCACTCTGCTCTAGAGCTTCCAGGGCTGTCCAAACGAGAACAAGACGACCAGCTTCAGAGAAAGCCTACAGATCGCTGACAGCCAGCACTGTAGCCCAGGCAAACGCTCTTGAGGAGGTTTGCAGTCCTCAAATTCCCAATACAAGAAGTTGTATATGACCTATAAAAAGGGATCTTATCTTTTGGTTTTTAACGCCTAGAAGATGAAGTGTCTTTTTAATGGACAAGGTGGGACTCTCACCTGCTGTCTGTGGCCTGTCACTGCTGTAGTGCGCTTCAGAACCGTGGGCCCACACCTGCTTGAACAGAGACTGTTGGACTCTCTGCTCTGTGCTCGGGTTGCCCTGTCCTGGGCAGGAGAATGTTTTTCAGCTGTGTTACAAAATGTGTGTATTTGAATCTTTGCTTCATGTTGTCATTTTCCCTTTTATATATTAAAATGCTATTTTATAAATGGATTCAGTCTCTGTGGTTCTCCTAAAGGGGTTGATTCGCTGGGCTGTACTCTGGTTCTCCAAATTTTATAGGGAGGGGGGATGTTCAAAATCTTTTTTGCATGTGTAAAGTGACTTCCTTTGGAAAAGTACATTTACATTTGGCTTGAAGACCATTTTGGTGAACTAGTTTCAGTTCCTTTGGAATTAGAAGAGTTGGAGCATGTTTTCCACTAGCTACAAAATCTAAAATCTTACACCTCTGCATGTATTTAGTCTCTTCACATTTTAAAGGTTATCTTAAATACCTGAAGAGTACATAAAGTGATTCTTACTAGGCAGACCTTTATCTGTGTTTCTGTATACATAGTATTCCAATGTTTTTTAAACCTGCTTTTGTCATTTTCCCCAGTTAGAAACATTAATAATCTGCTTTACTGGAGTGTGGCAGAAAAACACAGTTCTATGTCCACCATAAGGACTTTGCAACACAAAATTGCAGACATAGTTAAGCCTCAGAGAAACGTCACAAAGGCAACAGCTGCTTCTACTGTAGTTCAGATATTTCGCTATCTTGTCTGAGGACACTAAAACAGTCCAGTCATAGCAGCAAAAAAAAAAATTAGCTAATTGTATAAGTGCAACCTAAAAGTACAAACATTTGCCCTAGAACATCAGAAAGGCTACACAGAAAAGACAAGCAGGCGGCGCACCATGTTTATCTGGATCGGATTCTCTTCACTCCCAAAGCCTGTACTGGCTGTGCTAGTGGCACCTGCCAGACACAACATTGCCTTTATTATATTGGGTCAAAATAACCCCATGTGAACTAAGAACAGGCAAACTCCACACAGCCAGGCGACCAGAACCCTGGAGCTCCACACTGTGAAGGCATGTGTTGCAGAAGAAGGCTGGTGGTGTTCCTCCACAAAACTGCTTGAATGAACAAGGCACGTGTGGGCAAGCACTCCTGCTATGCTGAGGCCACTGGCCACCAGTCTTAAATAACTGCGCCCATTACCAGCACACAGCACACTGTAGCACTTTGGGAGAGTTGGTGCCTGTTGAGGTCAGGGGTCAGACTGAAGAGCCCCCAGGCCCACTGTGACCTCAGTGGTGAAATAGACGCTACTGGTCCCTATACTATAAAAAGTATATATACAAATGTGCAGTAGGTGGCGCAGTTGGATTATTTGCATCCTTAAATGTTCAGCGCTGTGCAGTTAAGGGCATGATTCTGAGTACTGTTATCCTCTAGGAATGTTTCTTCAGCTGATTCAATCCATCTTTACTTTGTGTAAGAAGCACCAGCATCACACCTACAAGGACAAATGAAATTAATCTGTTGCACTGTTTTGTTCCTGTTCCTACAAATGCACTTCAGAAGTCTACTTACAACCATCACAAAGAGAAACAATGAAAAACATCATAAAGCCTGTGGCATCTTCTAATTGTACAGCACACATAAAGATTAATTCAAGAGTCCCTTGCAAAGGCTGTGTAAAATACTAAAAAACAATCAGATTATTGACACGCTGCCCTCTTAAAATGGGGATTATGAGGTGGGAAATTAGCTCAAATTGTGCTTTTTAGCAGGCTTACTCTGAACTTGTCTTAAGACATATGCAGTATATAAACACTGTACTTAATAAGCACCTATTGTTGAATAAAGGATTTCAGTTTTAGTAAGAGCTAGACAGAGGCACCAGAGTGATGGTTACTGGCAACTGGTTACTGGTGGGGCTGAGTGTAACTCCATTAGTGTCTGAGCTGGCTCGAGAGCTGAAGAGACTGGGAGCAGTTACTGTAGTTCAGACCAGTTATTCACCTGCAACTGCAGAGTCTCTTTCCAAAGTGCCCCAACTGCCTCTCTCTACCCTGAGGACATAGCCCAGCTTTGCCCATTGACTCCCAGTCGTGTCGCGGATATGTTCTGTGCCACTCCTCAGCAGGGCCCAGTGCATCAAAAGCACTTGGTCTTGATGCAAACTTGACAGTGTAAAGTATTTGAAGTATTTGAAGGAAGAGAGTGCTGCCCGAGGTCATGTCCAGCCCTCTGACTGTGTGAACATTCATGGCCTCCCTTCCTGACCTGACATGCTGGACCATCTGATCCAACAGCGGTGCACTGGGAATACAGAGGCAGCAGGCCTTGTGCCTGGTTACAGCCGATAAAGAAGGCACAGAGTAAAGGCAAAACACGTAAAAATTGTTTTTTTTTAATGATTCTATAGTACCAGGGCTGTATGACAACACAAGCTGTCTGCAAAAACGACGAAGAAGCAGAACGATATTATATTTAAAGCATGCGCTCGGTAGTCATAACGTATCCCTTTAATTGGTGATAGAGCTTCCTGTGGTGTGCCTGGGCTCAGTTCCACTCACGGTACAGTATCTCGGTTTCAGGAAAAGTGGTGTGCTTACATCAGCCCGCAGGACTCACTATTACTGTACAGAAACTGGGACTCTCCCCTGCGGCCGTGACGACTCGGCGGGCTGGCTCACGCTTTCCCGGAGTTTCCAGAAACCCCGGGACTCACTCCTCCCTCTCCTTCCCTTTCTCTGATGCAATGTTGCTGCACCATTACAGCTCCAGGCGCCTGAGCGGTTCAGGCCGGTCTGCGCTGCAGCGGGCTACCCGGCCCCCGAGCGGGCCAGCAGCGCGGCCGCCGAGACATTTCCCCGTCCACCGGCCCCCCTCCAGCCCCTCCCCCTGCCCTGCCCTGCCCCGCCGTGCGAGACGTGAAAAGCTCAGCAGCTCTTGCAGAACAGAACATTCCTGCGTGTTCGAGAACACGGAAGGAAGAGGGGGCGGATCCGCAGCCGCGACACACGGGCCCCAAGCGCAGTTCGGCCTTCTAAAGGCGGAAGCCCCGACACAGTGCTCTTCCGTTGTCTGAGCGGAGCAGGGGCTCGAGTTGTTCTCACTGTGCTGGGTAGGATATGCAACACCGCCTACCTGTGCAGGGGTGCACAGAGGTTCAGCGATGTGTGCAGTACGTGGCCCAACGGAAGCGAAGGCAGATCGTGTAGATGGAACAAGCACACGTGCTCTAAAGTGCTTTTATTAAACTTTCTGGTGCTCCTGTGCTCTTTCCGAGCAGTTACTGTTGAGTTCCCCTGTTATCACTGGTTTCACTACTGTAGTATCTGAGGTGATAGTTTAGCTGCAGTAGGAGCCTCGTGTACTGTAAATAATGATAGTTCAGATTATCTGTCATATGTACAAGTGCGATGAAATGCTTGTAGGCTCTGATATAACGACTATAAGGAAACATCAGACATAAACACACAACAGCTGCGCTGAGTTACATTTGTTGCGCTGAGCAACAATTAAAGTTAAATAACATACAACTTAAATACAAGTCAACACAAGCAGTGTGCAAAAATGCTCCTGAGCTCTGCCTACATTACCACTGTTTACAAATCTTTAATAACTAGGATTGTACATTACCTTTAATAACTGGAGAAAGCTGTGTAGCCCTTCAGGTCCTGGAGCTCCTAAGAAGCCTTGTATGGTTTTTAGTTATTTTGAATACAGCAATGTTTTTGTGCAGTGATATAATTGCAGCTAGCTGTAGAGTGACATGTCTGATGTGATGACACTGTAGTCCCATGATTTTTTTACATCCATCCATTTTATCCGATGCAAGGTTGTGGGGGAGCGGGACCCTATCCCAGCAAGCCATGGGCGCAAGGCAGGATACACTCTGGAAGGGACGCCAGTCCATTACAGGGAACACACAGACACAAACACACACACACACACTCGCGCCTGGGCCAGTTTTCCCAGAAGCCAGTTAACCAAGCAGTAAGTGTTCAGACTGTGGGAGGACACAGATTGCACCCCCGGTATGGAACTGAACCCAGGACCCCAGTGCTGGGAGGCAGAAATGCTAACCACTGTGTCACCCAGCTGCCCCTGCTGTCCCACACCTAATCTCATTCTGTTGAAGACAGGCTGTAGCATTGCCACAGGGCTGCTCGTGTTATCTGTATACATAGAGTATTCCACAAGCGTGTGCTGAGAGAGAAGGACCCTCCTCCCCAGATATTACAACATGTGCCAAAGCGACACAGGAGATGGGGGTCGAGGGAGAAAGACCAACCCCAGGGGAGCAGGAGACATGCAAGGCAGCTGGGCCACACCTGTGGGTTACTTTTTGTAACTGCTACTGCTGCAGACCTGTGTTCAGGCACAGGTGTTCAGATTACATCATGATGATGGGCTTGCCTGGAGCACTGGAGTGTATATCAGTAACAGGTTTCCTCTTATGCAGGCAAATACTGTGGATCAGTCTACTCTTCAGGAGACTGAGAGTGCCTGGAGTCCCACAGGAAGTCACAGACGTCTGTGCTTTAACCATACTGACTAGTTCAAACGTTCAGAAGCACTTTAAAACGGGAAGGAACTGAAGTACAGTATCTAATACTGTTGAAATCATTAAAAAATTATTTGTAAACATCATAAATGTTTTTTTATTAACATGACCCGTGGCACTGTGGCCTGGCAGTGTCACAGCTTCTGCATCTCAGGTTCATTTCTGTACCAAGGACCTTTATGTGTGGAGTCTGCATGTTCTCTCTTGTTAGCCTGGTTTCCAGAGCATTCCAAAAACAAGCCAGCCAGGGGAATTTGTGTCTCTAAGGTGTCCCTGTGTGCTTGTTTACCCTGTGATGGACAGGTGTCCTGTCCAGGGTATAGTCCTGTCTCTTATCCTGCTTCCGGGGTGCATATTTTGTTTTGCATTTATCAAAGTGTTGCAACCTAAAAGTATTCTGTCAGTTACAGTTTTCAGTGCTGTCTGTTGTATGTTGACTTCCTCCTCTCGTTCGCAACTTTGTTCGTGTTGTTATGTCTCTCTTGTGACTTTCTGCCGAGTTTTGTTCCCCTTAATCAACTATATTAATTGATGTGGTTGATTTGCATTCTTTTCTTTGACCTTTTTAATGTGCCCAATCATCGTTTTTTAAAGATATGTCATCGTTTACGTTTTCTTTTCAATACCTTCAGCACACAAACTTTCGTCCAGTATCTCCTCTGGTAACTAATTAAGAACTTGTTCTCTTATTTCTGAGTAAACAGCTCTTAATAGGCATAGCCCCAAGTAATTGCAATGCTATAGACTCCCTCGGTAAGTGTTCGGTTTCTGCAATTGGTTATCTTTCAGGCAACACACCTGAAGTGGAACGCAGTATCAAATATGACCTCCGTTTTCACAGGAAAACTATAAATATACGCTTTTCTTGGCCAACTCCTGAAAGGGCGAGACTCATAGTCTGTGTGTTTTTCTTGGACGACAGTGGACAAAATAAAGAAACGTGCTTTCAAGGTTTCCTACCGAGGTGCTGGTATACCACCCAGTTCCCGGAGTTACACGCCATGGGGACGATGATTTGTAAGGGTATGTCCGAGTAGTTGAGATAATTAGTTACTGTTATTTACAGTTCGGGAGTCTGATAAAAATGTAAACCTTAACTGGAGCTTTTTTTTTATTCTAGGCAGTAGAATACTATACCTATGGCTCTCCCTGTTGTGATCATGTTCTCGTTAATGCTGCCAAGATGGAGGACAAAGCCCGGTAGTACGGAATTATCAGGTAAATCGGTAATCCACGGCAGAGACCTGTACTGTACCTCTGCAGAGGGGACGCAGAGAGCAAACGTTAAGCCGAGCAAGGGAGGGCTCGGGCAAGAAAAGACCGTCGCTCTTCTCATTTAAGCTGCCAAACTGGATAATACCGAGAAGGCCGGGAGCAGATCCCGGGTGCGGACACGCTTCGGAAACACGGTGCGCTGTGTCTGTTCGTGACGAGAACAGCTCCCGTGATTTCGGCTGCGGAACGGCGAGAGCTTCGGGTCTACCGAAATGAGTATTCCTGCTTCACAAATTGAATGCCAGCGGTAACACGACCCCCGCTGAGCACTCAGCAGGCTTACTCTGATGAAAGGGGTGAACGTTTCTCCGTTTCGTCCTAAATAAATACCTCAATCTCTGAACAGACCCTCTCTTCAGGCAAACTAAGACATTCTGGACAGCTAGTCCAGATGGCTTTAATCTATATGTACTGTAGATTGTACACAAGGTACTGGGCTATCGTATTTTGACAAGAACGCAATTCCAAAGCTGGACTTTTTTTTTTACTCCTAAAAGTTTTTTTTTTAAAAAACCTCAAATGCGGCTTCTTTAGTTTTGGGTGGGGGTGGAGGGGAGGGTCATTTTACAGTTCATAAAGTTTCTGCGAAACTGATCACCGCACTGAACGCCGGCCGCCGCGGCTGCAGACCTGGAACTAAAAGCAAAACGAGATTGTTTTTCTTCAAAAGTAGGAATTGCATCATGTGGCCTGCGCGGGGAACGGGGGAATGGCAGCCAGGACATTGCATAATGTTTGCTTTTAAAAGGAACTGTACATTGGCCAGTATGCACAGAGCGAGCTTTGAGTCACAAGACGTTCTGCTGTCGAACACACCCAGGGGGAACATTTATGTGCAGATAAATATATGACCAGACTACAGAGGTCGGGGTGAAATGTTCAAGTATAATTTACACAGCCATACCAGCCTATAATACAGTATAAAGGCAATACGCTTAACACAAATTTTGTATAAATGTTTTTGCACACGTCCGTACATGACGTTCTTAGTCAAAGTGGGTAAGAATGTCTACAGAATACAGCAAGAAAACAAACGCCAAAAGGTTTCGGATACCAAAAACGTCTAGTTTTCGACATTCTCCCAAGACCTTGAACGCGACAGCTGTAGAGATGTGTTCTTCACATACGGGGGTGATGAAGCTCGGGGACGGTGTGGAAGCGGCTTTCGGAACCTGGAGTTCTAGTGTTGCCGCCGCGGTTCCGAAAGGACAGAGCAGCAGCGAGTTTAATGGAAACAGACTTTCCCCGCCAGCTCACGGCTCCTCCGGACCCCGGGCCCGCTTGCCCTGCGGCAGAGGCGATCCGAAAACGAATTCAGTGCAAAAACAGCTGCGTCTAGATCTGCACCCGTTGTTTCTCCAATAAACTCGTTGTCCTGAAGCAGGCGGTTAACAGAGGGTAACGGAGCGATATAGCTACAGGCGTCAAAAGACAACTCTGGTTATCACCTCTTTTTTTTTTCTTTAAAAAAGCTTAGATGAATATCCTCTATTTTATTTTCACTGACCCGGCTGGCGGTGTTCGGATCATTATGAAACCCAGACCTCCTCTCTGGGATTACGGTTGAAGTCTCGCTCAATGGGCTCATTGATTGAGTGAATCCGTATTGTTTATTTCTGTGCTATGTCCGCCACGCCAGTTAACAGCGTAACTCCTGGTCACTGGGGTAGCTGAAAACGGTCTTTATTACTCTTGCATAATGAAAATCAAAATCCTCTTTTCCCTCCCTCCCTCCTTATCTACTTAACGATTTAACCCACATGCGCGGCCTCTCTGTCCCAGTTTCCCTAAATCCGGACTTCTGTCTCGTCAAGAGAAACGATACTTCTCAAATACTTCAAACAAGTATCCGACTACAACCTCTTAACTGTCAAATTGTGGAAAAGCTACTGCGGTTAAACACGATACGATGGAATGAGCGGCATTTTCTCCCTCCAACAGCTTTTACTGTACGTCGGCGTTCTGTAGAGGGGGCTGATTTCAACCCCATGAACTGTTCAATTTTAACAATTTAATTTGATTGAGTCAAGTAACGATGCACAAGTTCCAGGGGCGCCCAACAGCTGAGTGCACGTTGATCTCGGGTGAACCAGCTGCATAAGAACTCGGTTTTCTGGAGGTGTTGTTACTGCAGTCTTTTCCAGTGCCCTCTAACTTCTCGTGGTGTAAATTTAAGGTTCAGTAAGAGACCTCGAAGGGGAGATTTTGGACTTGTTGGCTGTCTGACGTGTCCCAGACGTATACAGGCTTCCTGCCCTGTGCTGACCACGGGGCGGCTGCGACATATCCTCTGTAGTGCGAAAAGGTGTCTTTCTTAAGAGATTAAACTATCCCAACACATCCCAGTTAAAAAAACAAACAAACAATCTAAAAGGTGTTTTCTTTTACGGCAAATAATCATAAAAGTCGCCGGTCTCGGTTAATTGGAGCAAGAGCCCGTTCAGGCCCAGGCGTGCGCGCCCCCGAGAGGAAGGGGTGTAACTGCACCAGCGTGGAAGGCGCGCCTTACAATTGTAAGACCATATCAATTCGCATCGATTACGTGGTAGACGTAACTATTTTTTACAAAGCGGGGGCTCAGCCTTGCGCGTCGGTAGAGCCTGCATCTCTGTGCGCGGGCGACGCCCAGACGCCTTAAACCGCTGGGCAGCCTCCGTTGAACGGCCACCGAGAGAACGTAACGCCGAGAGCTCGGGGAAACGGTGCAGCAGCAACAGCAACAACAACACGCCACCCTCCCGGGGGGACGGCGGCCCGGGGACCTGCTGGGCCAGGTGCGCTCGGCCCGGGAGCAGGTGCGTCAGGCCCCGCCCCGCCGGCAGGTAACAGCGCCCTCGGCGGCAGCAGCTGTGCGCGTCCCATGACCAGCCCCCTCCCCGTGTTTATCGAGGGTCACGCTGCAGATAATCCTGTGGACAGAGGTAAATGCGGTTAAACACCCACCCCGGAGCCTCTGTTTACTCCGCTTAAGAAAAAAAAAACCCCAAACAAGAACCGCAGGTTGGGGGGCTTTATCTTCGATCCAGAAGTGCATGTTAACGCCTGGCTGCCCTACAGTCACTACAAGTTCTCCTGACGTCGTGCCTTCCCGCTGGTGACAGGGGTGGACGCTGCCGCCCGGCCCGGCCCAGGACGAGCGTGCCGAGGCTCCTGCCCGCCCGTACGGCACGTAGCGCTGAGGCCGCCGGGCTGCTGGGGCGTGCTCTCGGCTCGGGGGGGGCGGGCGTGGAGACGGGAGGTGATATAAGGGCCGTGGCGCCGCCGCTCCGCTCCCACACGCCGGAGAGCACCCACACTCGCGCGCGCTCGCTCGCTCGCCTCGGGCTGACGACGGTGCTGCAGGCTGGAGCTGCGCGAGCCGTGACGGGGTGAGCTTGCAGGGTTTTGGGGGGGAGCGGGCGGATTTATAACGACGCGCAACGGAGCACGGCTGGACGCGGGGCGAGGACAGCTCTGAGGGCGAAAGTTATGCCTTAACTTCAGCGGGAGGGCTTTGTTGTTGCTGTTCTTCTTGCAGGGGCTTCCAGCGGACCCCGCGGTACTGTACAGAGAGGCGTGTTGCTGGGTGCCGGGGGACCGTGGTCAAATGCGGCTCGAAAAATACATTACAGCCCGGGGAGCCCTTCCCTGGATGAGTAGGACCCAGAAAGAGGAGCGGACTTGCTCGTGCATCTACGTTTTAAGACGTCTTTGCACATGCGATTTTTAGGGCACGGAGACGACTTTTCTTTCTATTTTTAGCTCGGTGTAGGCACAGCAGTCCGATTTGGTCATGCTGTTAGTATGTTGTTGTTGTTTTCGGTCCGGGCAGTTCTGGTTCTTTCTAGCCTATTGTTGTGCTTCGCGCTCGGAAGGGCAGCCCGACACGGGACTGATGCGAAAGTGGGCGACCTGAGGTTCCCCCCCAGTTTCTGTTTTTATCCAAATGTTGGCACAGCGTATGACGGGCACTTTCCACGGAGGCGCTGGGCCGCTCGGGCGGTGTTGTCATCTCTATCCGCGCTGCTGAAGCGGGCCGGTGCGTGTGAAATCTTCAGACCGGCCTGACGTTGTTGTAATCGGCCATCTCTCCGTTTTCCTTCTGTAGGAATCCCGTTTAAAACTCACCTCAAACATCTGCCACCCCAGACCTCACCGGGAGCCTTCAGCTTCTTCTCGGGGATCAATCGTTTGTTTGGGAGCAAGAGTGTTTTTTTTGTCACACCCCGTCCGCTCTTAAATCGCTGCGACAAGATGGTGCAGAATAAGATCACCGAAATCACTGGGTTCCATCGCTCATTCAAGGTGAGTCGGCTGTGTATTATTTGGTTTGCTTTAAAACTTGTTGACTTGATCGCGCCGTCTGCGTGTCCTGATTTATAGCTTCAGTGGGTGGATCAGTTACAGTAGTTTGAAACTTCACAGCCGGCAGCTCCCCGATGCATGATTCATGGAGCATTAGCGTGGCACGGTACTGCTTTGGACATGTCCCATCTATTCAGAGGCCAGAGCATCATGACAGTGCCTCGGAATAACGAGCGTCGTGCTGTCTTCGCCAGTTGTATCCTTGCGTCTAAAAATGACATGCGTCTTGTACCAAATTAAGAAAAAAACCTGTTAAGGGAAAAGTTGTACCTGATAAAGATGATAAAATGTCGTACATATTCCCGGTCATATACCACATTTCTGATATCAGAAAGCAATCAGCAGAGTTTGGCCTATCAAAGCTCAGTTTGTCAGAATTGAGTGTTGCTTTTTCGTGAGGTCAGCACTTGGGTATGTAAACTTCTATGGATATTTCAGTATGTGTAACAAGCTGCCTGATAGGAATGAGTAATGAGGACTCTTTCTCTTTTTTGCACTGTGTATTTTTTGCATTTCTTTCTAAGGAGGAAGACTTGAGTTGGGGTGACGTTTCAATTTCTGTCTTAAAAGTAGTATGGGCTGTTTTCATTCAAGAATTGTCACCAGGTTTATCATTGCTATCTTCAAAGACAGTGGAGTTTGTCACAGAGCATGAGCAAGCAGTGTGGAGATTTCTTGTTAGTTTAAGATATGGTAGTCAGTGTTTGTGTGGATTAGGGCTGAGTGCCCTTTAATGTCTCTTTATGACACACAGATGCTTTTGAAGCCATTCATAGCCCCTTTAGAGAATGTGGCTGTGCTGTTGCAGTTCTGTTGGCAGCAGGGTGTGAATTTAGCTTGGGGGATAATTTGGGAAAGTGAGTCCTGGAGAGAGCTGGTCTGGGCCAGGGATGGGGGGGGGCACACTGGTGCCAGGTTACATCACTTTCTGTTAATGGAGCAGCCCTGCTGCTTAAATAGGGCTCCATACCTCCAGTCCTGCCTTTTCCTTTGGACTCGGGTACCGTTTCCTGAGATCTGGAATTCAGTGGCTTTCTGGTTGTAAATGGTCTGTTTTCCTGTTCCTATCAAGCTCAGTTCATGAGTCTTGAAACTTGGTTCTGGTGTGTAAATGGACTGGAAGGACGAATTTAAAGAAGTGTTTTTGTGTGTTCTGGCAGTTGTAGAATGAAACTACTGGGAATCTGGGCAACAGGAATTTTAATACCCTTACACAGTCACAGTCACACTCCCTGTTCTCAGCCATTTGTGATTGTCCTAGATAAGAGCTTTGCGTTGTAGTAATGCCTTTCTGTGTCGGGTTCACTGAGGGGAAGAACTTGAAGCAGATTAAGGACTGTGTTGTCCTTGTGACTCTCAAAGCCCTCTGGTATTGCAACTCAAACAGTTTTTTTTTCCCCCTCTGCTTTAGGGGCAGAACCCCTTTGAATCTGATGACTTCACTCAGAACGGATCCCATCTCCTGGACTCGGCCTTCAATTTCGACTGCCCCCCCAGACCCGGTGAGTTTTACCATGGTAAACTCTTGACTAGGTGGCGCGCGCGTGGCCTTGCGGTCCGCGGACGCAGGAGGCAGCAAGACCAAGATGCAGGTTCAGCGTTCGACTCTTCCCAGCCACGCAGAATTTCCGTTCTTCAGATGTAAAGCGTCAGCCAAGCATGTTGCAGCTAGATCCGAGTCTCCAAGCCCTGTCGCTAATAAAGCCAGCTCAAGCATTCCTTGGCCCTTGCGTTCAGAGTATTTAAGGCACAGTGACTTTTTATACAACCGAGTGCCTCCTGGTTAAAGCTTTCAGTGAGATGTGGCCTCTTTTTCTGTGTGTGAAGACATGCCTTCCAGCCTGCCTATCGACATCCCGGATGCCAAAAAGAGAAACAAGAAGAAAAAGAGGTGCCGGGCCACCGACAGCTTCTCGGGGCGATTCGAAGGTGAGTTGGTGATTATTTAAAATACCCCTATGGGCTGTGGAGGGGACTGGTGTGATGGCGTCTTAAGAACTGGCTTGAACAGGCACGAGTATCAGGGGAGTTTGGGTTTGGCGACACCTGTGGGTCAGAGGTGGTATCGTGACGGGTGATGTCTTTGTGCTGACCCAGATGTCTACAGACTGCAGGAGGAGGTGCTTGGAGAGGGGGCGTATGCCCGAGTCCAGACCTGCATTAACCTCATTACCAACAAGGAGTACGCTGTGAAGGTAAGACCCATTCAATATAAACAAGCCCTAGGCTGTTGTGTTGATGGGAGTTAACTGTAATCGGGCTCTTGCCCACTGCTATTTTACTATAGCTGCTGATGTTTAAAAGTTCCCTTGCGCCGGGGTTTTCAGATAAATCAGTGCGTTGTCACACTCTGTATTGGAACAGAAGCGTTCACGATCACGTGTGCAGCCCAGGATGTGGGTTTTTAAATGCCTCGCATGTGCTTTATAGAGATTCGGTGGCTGTGGTGTGAAAATGTTTTTTTTTGGGGGGGGTGGGGGAGGGGAGAAAGGTAACGGGTTTTGTAACGTCAGCTCGCTCCAAGACCGCAGTTTTTTTTCCCTCTGTATTCTGCGCCCGACACCCGGTCTCCCCTCGCGTGTGCGCCGAGAGCTGGTTCACTTTTCGCAGGAAGTCCCGTCATCGCACGCCTCTTATCCCGCGGGGATTCAGGGCTGTTAATTCCGCAAGAAGAGGGCGTCAAGCTCTAGAAGGACACGCATGCACTCCGCAGTCCCTGCAGACGCTTCTGCAGCTCGCCGGCCCCTCTTGCTAACTCAGCACAGAAGCTTCCCCTTGTTGTTGTTGTTGACAACGGAGCGCCAGCCAATGGGAGCGCGGGGGCGGGGACTCCGCCCCCTCCGTGGAATGCCTATTGGCCGGTGGCGCTCCGGCTGCGGGAACAGAATGTGCAGGCGCCCGTGCCAAAACAACACGGGGAGGGGGGAGCCGGGGGAAGGTTGTGACCCGAGGTGATGACGTAGGCGGCGTGTTTCACAGCTTGGGAGGGCGTGTGTCTGGACAGGCGAGCCGTAACGCGAATCGCGATTAACGGCGTCCCTTCATTTCACGTTGTGTAAGGAAAATTCCTGCGCAGAATTGTTTGCATTTTACCCTCCCCCCCCCTCATTTTTAGTTGCTGAAGAGATTGGATAAGTGCGTGTAGTCAGCCGGACTGGGGGGTTTTGTAGCATTTGACCCCGTAAATGACTTGAAAGCAGATAGTGCTCTAGTCTTTTATTTGTTCTAAATTATTGTAGACCCATATGGAGGTGGTTTGCAGACTTCCAAAACCCCAGCGGGTTAGGTGGGTGTGTTATTTCCTTCTCCACTTTTCACGTGGCATGCACGCTGCGTAGAGCCCTGATCTCATGAAGTGTGCCTCTGGCCCACTGTGGGAATGTGCTGCCCCCTTTAGCCCCCCACTATCCTCTGACTTGTTTACTGAAAGCCCTTCCTGGGGTTGGGGGGCAGAGCCCCTCAGGAGGAGAAGGCTGGGGGGAGGGGTGGAGAGCAGATGTTCTGCCCTCCCTCTCCGGGGGGGTGAGGAATTGATGGCTGGCCTCCCAGGGAGTGCGGAGCAGGAGCCAGCGGTCCCTGTGCACGGACTGCAGCTCGTGGGTGTCCGATGTACGGCGCTTTGATTTACAGACCCGCAGATGGAGTCTCTAGCCTCCTTTAATCACTTACCCTCCCCCCCAGCTGAAGGGTTACTGCAGGAGCTGCTGTCTGTGGCGACGCAGTGCTGCAAAACGCCACCAGCGGAGCTGCGAGCAAGAGAATCCCTCTTCAGCAGCTGAATTTCCACAGTTTCTGACCGATTCAAGTTGACAAGTTTCCTGTCCGTCGGTCTGCGATAATCTATTTTTCCCCCACCTCTCCTAGGCGCCGAGTTCTCCCATCGGCTCCTGCAGTGGACGGTGGACTGATGTGTACTTGTTTAAAAAAAACTAACGGGGGCTTTAACGTCGTGCGTTGGAAAACGATGTAGTGAAAGCCCCGCAGGATGGGGGCCGCGGAGCGAGTGGGACAGGCGTGATCTGTGTGCGCCGTGCTGCGGGGCTTTGGCTGCACAAACAGCCGGTGTCTGTCTGTGTGTCCTAGACTGGCACTGTGTTTGTTCTCGCTGTCACAAAGGCAGCCTAATCTGCTTGGTGGGGACAATATGCACGGGAGACAAAGGGCCTTGAAAAATGCAGGGCAGGGAGTTTGAGTGTTGTGCAGGCAGGATGAAGCCTTCCTTTTCAGATTAACACCATTTTCTCTGTGGAGAACCGTGAGGCTTTGGGTGTTTTTGTTTTCTGGGGTTTTAGAAATCCTGGATTGAATCTGTAGTTTGACTAGCTTTCTTGTGGAAAACAAGAGGCAGGTTTATCTTTCTCTGTTGTCTGGTTTTGAGCGAGTTGAGAGCTTCTCTCAGCCACCTTCGCGTCCTAGACGCACACGGCGAGTGGCACGCGCACACCCTCGCTGTTTGTACCTCTCTCGCCCGCTGGCCCGGCCAGAGCCCTGACCGCGCCTCTCCGGCGTGTTTCAGATCATCGAGAAGAGGCCCGGACACAGCCGCAGCCGTGTGTTCAGGGAGGTGGAGATGCTCTACCAGTGCCAGGGTCACAGGTACGAACCGTCGCCTCGCAGGGCCATGCAGTCCGTTGTCTCGGGCCTGTCATGGCGGAATGATGAGTACGTTTGGGTTGGAGTCGTGAGTCAGCCTGTGTTGGTAAAACTTGATGCACCCCTCCACATCTTGCTCGTGGCCCAAGTAAAAATGATTCATAGTCTTTAGCCCAGGCAAACGTTTTTCTTCAGCTGGGGGGGTGTATGTTGGGGAAAACGCAGGACTGTGATCTTGTGGACAACTGCTAAAGAATTTCCAGCAATAGACCTCCTGTCTTTCAGCTGGCAGTCTGTGACTATTGTAAGCATTCGGACCAAAATAGCTTAGTCCTGGCAGCTTTAAATTCTGGTTTATCCCCATGGCAGTGCACATTAATTGTGACAGCCAAGCCAAGCTTTATCCGTTGCATCAGCTTCACAGCTGAACAGATGGCCCAGTAACTTTGTATGACATTTCCAAGGATCACTTTGAGGCAGAAGTAATTTCGCCAGAATCTCCATAGCATTTCTGCATCTTTGTCATATTACAATTAGTTTCCACTTATCTCAGTATGGTAACAGCGGATAAGGGACATGAGTGCATCCTTACTGTAAATCACAGCGTGGGTATTTTGTTGTAGGAGTTCTATGCATGAAGATGTCTTCCAACTGAAAATAATTTTTTCACACGCTTTGTCATGGTGTTTATATTAGATATGGGTTTGTTGTAAACGTTGTACTCTGTTTAGATATTCCCTCTTCCCCTGTCCACACTCACTGTGCTTCCTGCTTGCTGTCCTAGAAACATCTTGGAGCTGGTCGAGTTCTTTGAGGAGGAAGAGAAGTTCTACCTGGTGTTTGAAAAGCTGAGAGGAGGTGAGTGGTTTCTTGACCCCTTCTTTCCCTCTGCGTCCATGGAGTTTCTGTTCATCTGCTGTCTAGGTCTCATCTTCGTGTTCTGTCCTTCTCATTCTGCCAAGTTCAGAGAAAGGGTTCTGGGAGACTGCAGGACCGCTCCGGCAGCTTTTAGCCTTTACAGGTCTTTGTTTGGCAGTTGTAGCAGGTGGCTGAAGGGGGTTTTATATGGCATGCCTAAACTGAGGCTAGCTCGCTCACCGTCTCTGGTTGAAGAAGCCAGACTGCGGTGAAACAGCTGTCGTGTCACTGGAGGTGACAAACTTGGAGCAGCTGTTCTGAAAGTCCTTCCTGGCCAAGAGCTCTTTGTCGCAGCTTGCCGAGAGTGTGCACGGTTACGTTTCACACAGCACAGTGATGGCTGGAGCTAGTGACGGTTCATCAGTCCACTGGGGTGGACATATTCACTAAATGTGTGCTATAAAGAAGGACACACTCACAGCCTGTTGTGTATTAATTAGTGTTGCTATCAGGAATTTTCCTGAAATTCCCCTGTATTGTTCTGAACAACTGAAGCAAAACAGTAGATGAGCTCTCTACGTGCTAAGGGTTTTTTTTCTTTTAGGGTAAGGCACAAAATCCTTGAAGAAAGTGAATCATAAAATCAAAGATAAGACTATGTTCTGTGAATTACCCCTGCATACTCTGTAAATAGCTGAGAAGGCAAACAATCTTACCCTCCAGAGGAGTACTGAGACTCAGTCTGGTGTCCCCACCTTGACCTGATAAAGACAAGCACACACCGATGATAACACAGGTTCCAATCGGAAGATTAGAGAATCGAGTTCATGGATTAAGGAAACTTTTAAGATCACTTTTCCCCCCCCCCACTTCAGTGCTTTTCAGACTGTGCATCTCGGTGAAGCCAGACGGCCTTCTGGGCTCGTGTTGGCGAATATCGAGTCTGTTTTGATGACTTTGTGGGTGTGTGTTGCTCCTTTTTCCAGGCTCCATCTTGACTCACATCCACAAGAGGCGCCACTTTAACGAGCAGGAAGCCAGCATTGTGGTGCAGGACATCGCCAGTGCACTGGACTTCTTGCATAACAAAGGTATGCCCCACTTCCACTTTTTTTGAACTTCCTCTTCTTTACTTGGCCAACATTTTTTCCTGTAAAAGATAAATGCTTGCCTGCTTAATTGGGCATGAGTCCATGGTTTAAGCCAAGTTAGAGTGTGAACAAATTGTATATACTTGTGAGAAGTACCCACCCCGTTCTGGCTGCACTGACAGCAGTGAGGACGTCCATACTCATCTGTAGTAGATGTCTGGAATATAAGTGGCACAACTGGTTATGCAATTGCTTTCTTTCTGTATGTCCGTCAGCCATTTAAAGGGGTATTTTAAGCTACGGCCATGCCCATAAATGCAACAGAGAGCCTGTGTTTGGGCTTTTGCTTTGCTCCTGCAACATGTTCTAGAATTTGGTGGAGGTGGCTGAAGGTGGGGTTTCTGATCGAGTTTCTTCTCTCTGAAGGCATGGCTCACAGAGACCTGAAGCCCGAGAACATCCTGTGTGAGCATGAGGACAGAGTAAGTGTCTCGCGCTCTTCTGGTGGGGAGCGCTGGGCTCCTTTACTTGGAGGGGGGGGGCATCAGCACTTGATTGTCTCACGAGCTAACGAAGAGCTGGAATCCTTTTCAGAAGGATTAACTATTTCCGAGCAGTGTCAACAAAAAAAAAAACCAAATCTTGTAACTCGCTGCACGCGAACGCACTCGGGTCTGGTATCCTGAGCTGCCCTGCTGGAGAGTCAGACTGCCAGTCCCCAGTCCGGGTTCCTGAGGCCCTTGCTTTCTCTTCTAGATCTCGCCTGTGAAGATCTGCGACTTCGACCTGGGCAGCGGGATCAAGCTGAACAGTGACAGCTCCCCCATTTCCACCCCGGAGCTGCTCACGCCGGTCAGTCCCTGCCCCGCTCTCCCGGGGCTCGCCTCTTGAAGCTTCCTGGCTGTGGAAGCCGTCGGCTCTCGGTTTTTTCAGACGAGACGGTGACATTTTTAAGCTACGTGGGGTGGCCCGACGGTCTTTCATAGCAGCTCGCTGTTAAGAAACCCGGGTTGGGTCGAGCGCGTGACCAGGCATTCCCGGAATGTTATTCCTGTCTTGTTTGCGACGGGAGGGGGGGTCGGGGTGTGGCATTGACGAGGGCTGCGGTTGCGGGGAGATTTTTGCTATCGGTCTGCGGCTTTTCAGTGCGAAACCTCCTGCGGGAAGAAAGATCATCCACTTGACGTTACTTATTGATGTGTTTACAAGCCTTAAAAAAAAAAAACGATCATTTGCAACTGGTGCCGAGCACGTAGATGTTTTTTTTTTCTTCCTCCATGTGCACGGGGCTCCCACCATCTGGGCCATGACTGTGCAGACTGCCAGCAGCGTTAACAGACAGCAGCAGGTGGGAGGGAGCAGGCAGGGGAGAGCCAGGCCGGGCACAGGGGGCTGTAAGCTGATCTGGGCTCTGCCCCTCGCTGGGCACCTTGGCTCGGCTCTATTTCAGGGTCTTGGGTAGCGGGAAGATGCAGGGGATGTGTGTAATTCCCTCTCGTTGAAAGACATGAGAGATGCCCTCGAACAGGGCCAGGGCTGCTGGAGGGAGTCCAGGCCTGGATACCGTTCCCTTCTCATTAACAGTCTTCCAGGAAGTCGGAGAAGTGGGCGGTGTGAGGTTTCTCAAGGAAAGGAGAGCTGTATGCTGGAAAGTACCTCTAAGTATAAGAATACGAGTTGTGCTGCCGGTTCTAAACAAAGGTCTTCCTGGTATAGTGTGCACAGTGAGAAAATCGGACCATTTTCCTGCTGGGCTGGGCAGGAGTGGTAAACTTTAACTTTAGCTGGTGTGTTTTGCTTCACGTTGAGCTCCGTGAATATCCCCAGTTGTGCTCGTTGGATATGAAATACCCAGTTAAAAAACCGGGCTGCTTTCATTTGCCTTTCAAGGGGTTTGTAACAAAGCATGCAGAATCAGTTTTGCATGCCTGGAGCATGTGGTCCCTACAGGGCTGTTGAGTGTGACTGGTAAACAAAGCCCTCTGCTATGCTGCTCTTGATAAGGAATCCCATCTGTGGCAACCACCCTGGCCCCCCCTCCCCCCACATATCCACCAGACTCTGCAGTCGCCCAGAAAAAACAAAACAGGCCTCAGATTGTTTGCTACTGCAGCCCAGTTGCGTAACTCCCCTTCGCTCCCTGTGTTGTGCAGCAAAGCTGCTTGTCTGCATTTTTTTTTTGTAACGGCTTTTTGAGAGCTGCGAGACCTCCGCACCGACAACAGAAGCTGCCTCAGCCTAGCAACTCCCCCGTGATTGGCTGGGAGGGCAGGTGGGGGCTGGGGAGGGGGCATGGCTTTGGCAGAGCTCCAGGCTGCGCTCATGTGTCCTGTTTGTCTCGCCCACAAGGGCTGGTCTTTGTTTTTGCTCGGCTGGCTGCTGGTGTTTAACTCCTTGTTTCCACCCCCCCAGAGGGCTGTGCAGCAGTCGGCAAGTGGGTTGCTCAATGGTCTGAGGTCATCCGATTTTTGCCAATCGGTTCCTACATTCAGGGCAGCAAAACCCAGGTTCTTGACCGGGGCAAGAACCGGTAGAAACACTCCTTAACCAAGGTCACGGTCTCGACTTGCAACACAAAAGTGGAGCAGTGGTCTTATTGATTGTAAAAAGCTAAAGGCTGCATTTTTGCTCCTGCAACATAAAATGCAAGGGTTTAAGCAATTGATATCTTGTAAAGAAGTTTGTGTTTTTGCCTCCCTACATCAGTACAGGAGTGTCTGCTTTTTGCACATTTCTGCCAGTAAAGCAGTTTCACCTCTGTTGGTTTAAGTTAAGGCTTCCCGTCAAGGTGGTGGGGTGGGGGGGGGCAGGGGGCTTTTTCTGAGCCACGGATGTTCTGCGAATCCAGAGAGGGACAGCGGCTTCCTGCCTGTGTGCACGGCGCAGGCTGCGCGGTCAGGCCGGGCGGAGCAGGAGGGCGCACGTCACTCGGGAAAGCCCCGCGCCCGGGGCTTGTGGGCCCGTTGACAGCTGCGCCCAGTCAGCTGCTTTTCAGCTGCGCACCAGTCTTCAGACTGGGAGTGTCTGTGCTCGCTGGGGCCGACGTTCAAATGAGCTTCTATTGCAGTGTATTTCAGGAATTGGATCTGAATATTGGATCCATAAATGACACTAATAGGGTTGTGTGCACTGAAGTGCTGGAGGGCAAATTTCCGTTGGCTTTCATGCCACTTCAGCCTTTTAACAGTAAACCTGTGTTTTTAAAACCAGAGTTGAACTTTTGGAATCTTTCTCGTTATTTATTATTAAGATTGCGCCTTTTTAAAAGCAGCTTTTCAAAGTTCTCTAAACAAAGATTAAATGGTAACATTTTAGCAGTTTAGTGTAGCAAGACAAGGAAGGAAACGAAACGAGCGAGAGGAGCAGCACCCCGACGCGCCAGTGGACCCCGTCTGGGTTGTTGTGCCTTTGCTGCGTGGTGCTGGTGCAGTAGTGGGGACAGTAGTGCGCTGAAGAATCGGCTGCTCTATGTGCTGAAGCAGACCTGCTCGTCTGGGGAGAGCCGGGGGGGGTGCAGGTGTCTCTCTGCGCCCTGCCCCCAGGGCTGGGGTGTGGGGACAGCAGGAACAGAGCTGGGGATTTGTGTGCTTAAAGTGACAGGGCTGATGCAGATTTCAATCTGCAAAAGCTTAAAATCTGAGGGGGAGAGTGTCGAGTTCAGTTCCAATAGGAAGGGACAGCAGGCCTGATCATTCAGTTTGAAACTATAGTTGTGCCTGAGGTCCTCAAGCCCCCAGCCTTCTCATAGATGAACTCTAGTTCCCCTTTGTCATGGGCAGCCAGCGAGGCCAAGTATTATGGACTTGAATTTTCTCTTTTCTGAATGTGGGAGTTTCACTGCTTCTGTTTGACTCCATTTCTGAGGACAGCCATTGAGACAGCTGGTTCAGGCTTATGTAACAAAACGCCAGTGAACGTTTTGTTCATGTAATTATGGAGGGTTCTGAAGGCCTGTTTTTTGTCTTAAAGCCTCGAAGGCTTAAACCTCATGCGGGGATGGCATGGAAGTGTGGGGTGTTTTGGGAGATGGTAGTGCAACAGGAGGAGTAGTGTCTGGAATCTGAGATTCCCATACAGAGCACTAACATTGCACGGCCGCCAGACAGCTGCAGCAGGCTAACAAGAGAGGCTCCAGTGTTCAAAAAAACATGCAAGATCCCTTGTCTGAAGAAGGGCTCCAATTACAGGAAATGTTTCTCCCATTTACAGAAGCTAGAGGCAAATATCTCTCCTCTTTATCTGAAGATGATCACACTCACCCAACCCATTTCTGGCCGGTTGAAGAGCACACTGCTCTTTTGTTGAAATGCCAATCTTTACAGGCAGTAGGAAAAAGTTGAGAACATGAGTCTTGCCTTTTCAGCATTTTCTTTCAAAGAGGTATGTCTCAATGGCCACATTCCTCTCTGCATAAGGAAGAAATTCTGTATTGTGAAAAGTATGAGCACTGTACTGGCTCTGTAACAAGACTTAATGATCTGGAGTCTGAAGCTACTCCGTCCTTAATGGTTAACACACAACCACCTCCCCTTGCACAAGGCTGTCTCGAACCCTTGACTTTCCCTTCGTTTATCTGGCCTTTTTCCTTCTACAAATACTTAAGGAAAGCTGCTTTTGGAATTTTGTTTACATAGTTGCTGAAGTTCACTTTCATTCTTTAAGATGGTCAGTCTGCATCAGCCCAGCAGGTGTTTGGCCTGCTGTCCGAGTGACGGCCCATTTCAAATCTGTAGACGCAGGACTGGGTACATGCTGGGCCCTCAACTGGGCGACAGGCTCAGGCCAGGGCTGGAAAGGAAGCGGGGGCACTTTACAGGAGGGAAGCTTGGCTTTGCTGTGTGCCAACAACCCCTGTTTTATTTGTTTTATTTTGAAACTGCTGTAATCTGACCAGCTCCAGCTGCTTAGTGGCAGCTCAGCAGTTCCATCTGGCTGGAATTGGAGACTTGTTTCTGACCCTCTTGATGAGCATTGTGTGGTCTGTACGGGCTCCCCTGTAAGCAGGTCCGTGCTAGAGGACAAAGCCAAGATGAACACCGTGTCGTTTGAAGCTTTAAGTTCTCCCGGTTATGGGACTGTGGAACTGGCTGGGAAATCCAGTTTTTGAACTTGCAAGCTCATGAGGGGTTTCGTAAATGATGGTGTTTACCTTTTAGATGTCTTCTAGTGCTTTTTAGGCAGAGGCGATACGGGTTCTTGTAGTTTTTACCTGATCCACATCGAATTGGATATTGGGAAGGATCGCCCGAGAGGCTTTCCTTGGAAAAAGGAGGTTAGACTTCAGTGTAACCGAGCAGCACCATCTTAAACGGACGTTGGTCTCCTACCCCCCCCTTCTAACGTGAGATGCAGCAGCTGGCCGCGCCGGTCGCTAACCACGCCTGTGCTCGGTGTCTCCACAGTGCGGCTCCGCGGAGTACATGGCCCCCGAGGTCGTGGAGGCCTTCAGCGAGGAGGCCAGCATCTACGACAAGCGCTGCGACCTGTGGAGCCTGGGGGTCATCCTGTACATCATGCTGAGCGGGTACCCCCCTTTCGTGGGGCGCTGTGGGGGCGACTGTGGCTGGGACTGGGGCGAGGCCTGCCACTCCTGCCAGGTGAGGAGCCCTGAGGTTTTCACTCTCTGTGAGCCCACGCTGCGGAATTGTCATGTCTGAACTCTTCCCCTCGGCTCTCTCCCCCCCCAGAACATGCTGTTCGAGAGCATCCAGGAGGGGAAGTACGAATTCCCGGAGAAGGACTGGGCTCACATCTCATCCGGTGCCAAAGACCTCATCTCCAAGCTGCTTGTGCGGGATGCCAAGAACAGACTGAGTGCTGCCCAGGTGCTGCAGCACCCCTGGGTGCAGGGGGTGAGTGCCTGCTCTTTGTTTCCGCGTGCCGGGCGCTGCCGGACAGTGGCTTACAGACTTGCCCCAGTGCGTGTTGGGAAGTCCTGTGCTGTCTTGGTTCGGTACCAGGTGATGTCGCCCATGCGCTGACTCTCTTTTGTTTTGCCCCTTCAGTGTGCTCCAAATACACTGCCGACTCCCATCTTACTTCAGAGGTAAGTGAGCCTCCTCTCTGCTTTCTGAACTTTTCCCAAAGGGGCTTTCTTGAAGCAGGCGTTACTGACTGGCCTCCCCCCTCCTTGCGTCTTGCAGGAACAGCAGCGCCAAGGACCTGACCTTCTTCGCCGCGGAGGCGGTGGCGGTGAACCGGCAGCTGGCCCAGCAGGAGGAGAGTGAGACGGAGGAGCCGAGGCCCGTGGTCGTCGCCGCCCCCTCCTGCTCCGTGCGCCTCTCGCCTCCCTCGCAGTCCAAGCTGGCGCGGCGCCGGCAGAAGAGCAGCCTCCTGAAGGGGGCGCCGGTGTCGGCCTCCGAGCTCCACCAGCTCCTGGCGCCGCTGGTCGTGGTGGGCGACTGCGCGTGAGGCCCCGCCCCCTTCCTGACGGGCCCGGTGTTCTTCCAGATCTCAGCAGTTTGTTGCCGCTCAAAAAGCACAGATCCCTGAACTATTTTTTTTTTTACAAAAAACGACAGAGGCAATTCAAGGGATGTTCAGGATAGGGCCGGGGAATACAAGGACAAAAGCTATCGAAGTTCAAAGGAGCTCGGACTTTGACACCAAAGGACTACTCTTGTGCTGCTCTAGTATTACAACTTGATCCACTGTGAATTTCCTCGTTTAACTTTTTTTTTTTTCCCACCAATGTAACTCATCAGGAATACCATTTGCCTGGGGCGTATTTGCATTAATGTTACCTCTGCAGATACACACCTGCTTATGCGTTTGTCGCAATGAAGGCTTTTCTGGCATTGATTCAGCCGATCTGTGAGTAATCAGTGCTGTCAAAGTGCTTGGTGCCATGAAGGACGAGCTGCTGTTGCTAGAACCTTTCTGCTGCTCTCCTTCTCTTTACAGGTGATCCTACTCCCCAGCTCCCGTTGCCCCTTCACCTCTGCTACATTTCCAAAAGTCTTACTGGGAATGAGCCTAAACATGAAAAGAGAAACGGGCGGGTGTAAGATTGTACTTGAAACTCTCAAATGTCAGTGGGATGGAAATTGTTCTCCCATTTCAACACTAAAATATGGCTTTTTTTCCCGTGATACAAGCATACGCACACATCTAAGTTGACACCTTGCTGGTGCCTCTCAGTAAAAGCTTTAAAGGCTCATTTTAAGTTTTCATCTCTATGTGGCCCCATGCTTGTCCTGGCACAGCGTTGATTTCGAATTCCTGGCACGCCGGGTGCTGGAATCGTAATGGACTGAAAGGAAACTTGAGCTGTACGGGTCCTCGGATTTGTCTCGGCGCCGTCTTCTGCGGGTCATCTTGTTGTAGGGCTGACCTGGGCCCTCCTTTCCCATGACCTGAGCCGAAGTCTGGATTCTGAAATGGAATGTTTTATTCTCACAAAAGCAATCAAACAGGCGTGTTTGACAGGCTCCAGAGTTGGAAGTGCGAGCTGGCATGGGAGTGATTTATTTCTTTAGGACTCGTTGAATTGGTGCAGAGGCTAAACGCCGCCATAGATCTCCGGTGAAATGTCTTAAAAAGAATCGAAATGGAAGCCACGTGTGGAAGTAGGGTTCATGTTTTGGGGCGAACTCGACCCTGTCTCCGGGTAGCGGGGATGTCCCTTGGGGGGCCACCTCGGCATGGCCGTTGATGGCCGAAATGAGCCCAGCGTTGTCCTCCAGTTGCAGGTAGACGCCCAGGCTGCCAGGGTGGCGTGTCTCAGGGAGCCCTTGGCCAGGAGACGTTCTTGTCTCGAAGACGCAGCCGAGCCCAGGCGGGCCGGAGAATCGCGTCTTGCCGGTTGAACAGTCTTTAGCCGAAGCTCGGGGGGGGGAGGGAGGGAATAACCGTTCGCAGAAATGAAAAGCGCAGGTTTAACATGGAGAAAATGACGGAGGGTAGGAAAAAAAAAAGCATTCCAAAAATTAAAAAAAAACGTCTTCCAAGGAAAATGAACATGCGTGAAATATGAAAGGAGAAATATAATTTTTTTTAAGTGTTTACTTTTTATATACGTGGATAACTCCAAGTAAAATGAGAACTGTGCCACACTGTTTTATGGGTTGTATTCTTTTATTTTTTTTTATTTGAATGCAGGTGCTCTTGTGTAATTGCGCAGGTGAGACGTTTTTATGTTTTTATTTTATTTTTTTTGTCATGCGTTTTAGTGGCTGTGAGTGACAATGGAATTGAACGGGACAGTATGTGAACAAGGAGGGAAACTTCAGAGTGTGTATTTTAAAGACTATTTTGAGAAATAGGCAACAACAGAAGGTAATGGCATTGTTTATTTTACTTTATATGTAAAGGTTTGGGCAATGTTCTCTTTGGACGGGAAACAAAATCCACTTTTGATTGACGGCTTCTGGAATTTTTCAAACCAAGGCAAGCTGTTTAATTAGCCAGCAATGCTTCTCCCAGAATATGTTGGCAGACAGCAGAGGATTGAGAGGGTTTTTGTAATCGAACCCTCCCCCATTTTTAAATCATTCACTGCCGCCTGCTCATGGCTTTGAGTTCTTCATCTCGGTTCCACCGCAGTTTGAATTTGCAATGTTTGGCAGTCTCTATTTACCACCAAGGAATATTCTGTTGCCCAAGCCTGTTTTCCTGTAATTAATGAAAGAATGTCAATGCAACATTACCAGCAAGCATTATTATGGTACTAAAAACGCATTGCCCTTCTTGCGATGGAGGAGGATGCAATAATCAGGATGCTGATTGTAAACTTTTTTTTATGATCTTTCTACACATACATATTTGTGGGGTTTTATGTCTTATACTAAGACTTACTTGAATCGGAAATGCTGTTTCCTTTTTTATTTCATTCTGGAAACTAGCTTTTGCAGACAAATGGACAGGAGGCGCAGGAGCCTGGTTTTGGTGTTCTTTGGTGGGAACCTGTTAGACTCAGTATTTTCGCCCTCTGCCCCCTTCCCCCCCCCTGCTGTCTATGCATAACTCTTCCGGTGCGGATCTGCGCCACACAGAGACGAGCTGACGTCGGACGCACAGCAGTGCTACCTCTGAAACCCACCATGGCTGTCCTGTGGTCTTGTACGTGAACAAGGGGGGTGGGGTGGTGGTCAGGACTTCTTAAGGTATAGAGTAGCACTTTTAAAAGACCCTCCTCTTCACACCAAATATGAGAAGGTGTTGAAAACAATCCAGCAGGGTTTCTGGATTTTTTTTTCCACATCTCTAGGAAGTAGAAAGAACTTGTTCTGGCTAGGGAAAATAAAATACTGCTCCCCCCCAGATTATTCTCCAAACTTGTAAACACAGCCAGAGCTGTCAGAATGTGACCTTGGAGAAACTATTGTAGTACTTCACCACCTTGAATCCTCTGAGGAGGAAGGGGAGGTATTTTACAGAAATGTGAACTCTGCCTGCGATTTCCAGTACAGTCCCACGACTGTCAGAGTCTCCGGAGTTTCGCAGACGAGGCCTTGGTAAAGTACTGTTTGTTCCTCCTGAGAGCCGACGTGATGGGCGTTGGGAATGGAAATCAAAGACAAAAAAAATTAGAAAGCACTTTACTGTACCATATGACTGATAACAGTTCACTAGAAGCAAGGTTTCTAAGAGACTGTTGTTGCCAGAATTTTGTATTGTTTTTTTAAAGGAATTTAAATAAATGCTTTGAACCACATCTGTCTTGTCATGGTCTGTCTGGCTCGCTGGATTACTCTCCAGGACATCTTCCTGTTCTCCAGAGTGGTGGCCCTTGTGGCGTGCTCCACTGCAGTGCCTCAACACTGCCAGCCTTTCCGTGTGCCGTAAAGATCATGCTGACCGCCAACTAGGCCCAGGAGCCTGTGTGCTGTCCAACTACTGGAGCTGACTGGGAGGGGCTGCAGGCTTGGAAGCCCTGTCCATGTGCTCCAGCAGCTCGGTGGGTTGGGTCACAGTCACCTTAAGGTGCCCCTAGGCCGATTAGTTTTCTGGAACTAAACAACTCTGAAAAGGTGCTGCACAAAATTAGTGTATTAGCCCAAAAATACAACTTAAACGCCTAATTTAGCAGTTTGTTTCAATAAAAAAGCCACCAGCCACCAGAGAAGTACAGTAGGGCACCAGTCCATTGAGCCGGTGTGATAAGTGCAGCATGTTGGTAGCGTGACTACATGACTTGCACTGTATGTCTCCCCCCTGGGCCGACTCCAGTCCTGGAGGGCCAGTATCTCAACAGGTTTTTATTCAGTTCATCTCTTAATGACCTAAATCCTCTACATCTCCCAATTAAGTGACAGCTACTCCCAACTCTCCAGGTGTAACTGCTGTTTTAAAGATCCTAGAAGACCTACAGCAGCAGCACCAGCCCTCCAGAAGTGAGGCCTCGCTGTGTCTGGATGTGTCAAGGGGCAGGACCTGCAGTACGTGCTCTTATTAGATCATGGGTCCAGGTGAGAGTGTAGAGGGTTGAAGTGCCTCATCAGGCTTTTCTCACCAGCCTTGACTGGCCTCTATCAAGGTGCGAATGAATTCAACCAAATTAAGATCTTCCCAATGAGAGGGAACGTCGGATCGGAGACAGGCGGCCTGCTGGAAACTGCTCCAAAGATGAGAATCCTCATCGTGGAAAGACTTAAAATATAGTCGGGCTCCTGGCCGATGCCACACGGTCAAAACGAAAGCAAAGGTGTGTTGAAACAGGAGGCGCATCTTTTGTGCGTGATGGTAAGGAAGAACAGCTGTGCCTGGAGTAGGAGGAGCCCCAGCCAGACTGATGTAATCTGGCTGCAACAGCGCCCGGCTCTCCCTGGGGGTGTGCCCGGACCCTGCGCGGCTGGCGGGGGCCTATCGGTGACGACAGACGGGCAGACCCCAGCATCACGCCTGCAGGGCTGGGGAGAGGCCAGCGGGGGGGGGGTAGAATCACTCACTAATCTGTTCTCTGCGGATAACGAGAGCGAGAGTGTCAATCACCCACAGTGTCGAGGTGTGTTCGCATTCAGTCGACGAGAACCTCCCAGGAGGAGATGGGAGAGGTCTCAATGATGCAGGTGGGGACTATACAAAAAAAAAGACATCACGCTGAGCATCCAAAAAAAAAAAAAAAAAAGCAGTGCTCTAATTACGCTTGTGCGTTTCTTAGAAAAATAGATTTTCTTTGGATATTGAGCAAACGTTTTGGGTCCCCATCATTAAATCGTGATGAACGGATCGCTCATGAGATGATGTCACCCAGAAGGAAAACTGGGCTAAGTCAGCCCTTGATGGCCATCAAGCAGGGAGTTCTGAAAAACCATCGTTAACTTGGCCAAATCGAGCAGCTGACTGATCCGACGAGGTTGTTCAGCTGGCAGGAAAATCATAGCACCCTCTTCAGGCCCATGGATGGGCTCCTTCAGTTCAGGACATCCAGGTGTGGGACCCTCTGCTTCTCGGGGGGGGGGGCAGACATTTAGCCTTCAGCTGCAGTCATGCTTAATAATTGCCAGTTCTTATAACTGAAGTAACCAGCTCAAGGATGGCTATACTGATCCTGATGATGATGAAATATATAATTAAGGAGCTGTGTGTGTGAGGATGTGGCCTGGAAGGGCTGCACATTAAGTGTTCCTGAGCTTCCTGAACGCAGAGGACATCTGCAAGAAAGCAAATGGGCTTTTGCGGCATTTAGTTTTAGCTTCTTGCTCCCCCTAGTGTTCCCCCCTTGGAAGAACAGCTTTTGTGGACCATCATGTTGAATATTTTAATTTTAAGATATTATGTCCAATACATAACTCAGAGAAGATTCTAGATGTATGTTTTTCAGTGATTCCTTACCTTTAATAAAGGAGAATACAAGCTAAGTAATGCCTATAGCTGCTTGTTATTGCAGCTCTGGTTGTTCCCTGCCTACCACATCACAAAACAGAAGTCAAAAGCATGTTTCCCAGATTTAGATGGCAGACAATCCCAGCAAACTCACCCAGTGACTTAAGTCACTGATCTGGCCCAGTGGTTTTTCATGCCCAGCCCTAGAGACTTGTCAAAGCTGACTTGGCCTTTCAAGGCATTCAAACTGATTTTTGCAAAGTTCAAATGTTTTGGAGGACACACCCACCCAAAGTCCAAAATAACACACCCAGGGACAAACCCACTTGATGCAAAAGTCTTTACTGCGTCACTGGAAAATCCGGTGCAGATCAGTACCCTGTTTCGGAAGACAAAGAAAGAAATCAGCCACATTTACAGGGACGAACTCGCCTCAATCCAGGTTTTTTATGGAATAAACAGACACACAAATAGTTGTACAAGCTATTTAAAAGACATAAAGATGTATAAAAGACACAGAATTGTTTAACATTGTACACCTCGTCACACACATAAATGTGCAGTTGAATGATAATTAGGAGACTAGTAAAATGAAAACGGGCATATTATAAAATGCAATGTTCATGTGATCTTTCCTTTCAAATCATGTGCCAATCTGCATGTTACTGTAGATTGAATCTCTCTAGAATTTCAATATTTTTAAATCAATAACTCAACACTGGCATATCAGTATAATGTACTAAAAGACATAAATCTGTGACTTTGATTCATAACATATAATAAGCAGAAAACTGAGCAGAATTTGTACATCTCATAATGAGAATGTAGTTAAGAAATGGCATAAAAAAACACTTAAAATACAAACCCCTCAAACAGAATCTAAAACAATCAACTGGATACAAAAAATATTTTTCTTAACCATGCATTTGCTTGCTCGTTTCTTTTCTACTTGCTCCCAGGACTCCTAAATGTGTGATGTAAAGATGGTCACTGCAGGAAGAATAATTCTGCACTCCTGCTCTTACCGAGATGTGCAGGTCCCCTCTGATGTGGATGCACTTCCTCCTGGATTTCCGATGGCCGGCGTGGACACCGGACGAGCTCGCCCGGCGTGGAGGGGGAGCCGGCTCCGGGACCTGCCGAGCCGCAGCGGAATGTCCTTCTCTGGCTGCCCGGCGACGCCCAGGTGGGGACACGAACTCCCGGCCCTCTTCCTCGGAGCCCTCGGAGACAGGCGGCTCCGGACTCGTCTCCCCGGCCTCGGCCTCGGCCTCTCCCGGACGGAGCTTCCTCTGGAACTCCCTCCCGCGCCGGTGGCAGCGCTTCCAGCCGCGCTGGGGGCGGGGGACCCCGAGGCTGCTGGAGGGGGCTCGCCGACGGGCCCTGAACGCGCTGGGGGAGAGCAGCCCCTGGGTGGGACTGGCAGGCTTGTCGGGGGTCTCGGTGGTTTCTTCTTTCTCCGCTAGTCCTGTTTCCTTCATGTGTGGCCTCGCGGGTCCATCCAGAGCGTGTTTCTTGGGCTTTTCCAATTTCTCCATAGGTAGTGTTCCGGCAGGAATGTTGGCTTGAATAGATTCCTCAGAAGATGCACAGGAAGGACCAAAAAAGTCTTCAGGGGTGCTGAATTTCTCTACAGACGCAGCAGGTAAGGTGAACCCTGTCTCACTGCCTTCACTTTCCAGGGGTGTCAGCAGAACAGAAGAGGAGGTGGAGGCTTGCGGGGCGCCCCTCTGTTGCCCCACCGCCTGTACCCCCTCTTTCAGTGCTGAGCTCACCGTGTTCTGAGAAACGGATTCCTCCGATTGGTCTTTGACCGCCGGGGATGAGGCGGATCCTTTCCCGGATGCCGATGGAGAAAGGCCGTCGATGGTCATCAGCCCCTGGTCTGTGGAAGAGGACATCATCGCAGCCTTTTCTCCTTTTGTGTGTAGGTCTTGCACAACGGTGGCGGGCGGCGTCATTGATTTAACAGACACGATCACAAGCTTTGGGTAGCCCCAGTGTTTGTGAACGATCTTCCTCCTGACGTTAAACTCCACTGCCTTCCTGTGCTGCTCACTGATGAAGGGTAAGTCACTCAGGTCCACGACGATGTCATAGTGAGGCTTGGGTAACATGCGGCTTAGGGTGAGCAGGGGGGCTGGTGGCATAAATCCTTCCAATGACCCCTGGATCCTTTTAGGCAACCCCCATTGCTGCTGGATCTTTTTCCTGGTAATATGGAACTCCAGCCGATCTCCGAACTCTGCGGAGAAGAACGCAGTGTCCATCCCCTTGACATCCACTGGAGCTCCACGAGGCAGGACAGGGGGAGGGGGGCGGGGGCTTTTGGGAACCGAAAGGGTTAATGGCGCCGTGCAGGGGGTGGGTAGTCCCAACAACTGTTCCACATGCTTGCGTTTTAAATTCATTTCGATCTGGTCCACAACGTTCTGATCCATAAAAAGAATAACTTGTGGTCTTGTTATCAGAATACGCATGCCAGGGGCAATTATCTTCTTTAGGGTTTCCTTAATCAAAGGAAAAGTGGTTCTATATGATCCACTCACCATCTTTGGTAGCCTTTCAAATTTGATCTCCATGCACTTCTTTAATAAACTAAACTCAAGTCTGTGTCGCTCATTAGTTTTTAATTTCTTGAGGGACTTGGAGGAAAGCCTGAAGCTCAGTATCTTGTCTGAATGCCTGGGAGCATGTTGAGTTAGTTTTGTTGTTGTCTCTGGTTTTCTTTCATTGGGTTTACTGGAGCTCTTCAGTGGCTTTTGCTGTAGGAGATCCTGTGATACTGCTGGTGGTGGCAGAAATGCTTTAATAGATGTTATTTGTAGTTTTGGGTATCGCCATTTTTTCTGAATGATCTTCCTCTTCACATTCAGCTCCACTGTCGTTTTGTGCTCTTCTGGGAAAAAGGTGAGGGCCCCCAGTTCTACAGTGATGTCATACAGAGGCTTTGGAAATGCCTGGCTCAGGTTGAGCTGAGGAGCTGGAGGGATAAACTCTTCAAGGGACTCCTGAACCCTTTTAGGTAGCCCCCAATGTTGCTGGAGCTTTTTCCTCTGGATGTGGAACTCCAGCTGATTTCTGGCTTCTTCAGAGAAGAATGGGGTGCCCGCACCCTCAAACTCAACTACAGTGCCACGTGATACAGCTGAAGATGGAAGAGGTGGGCATTTTGGTGTCGTCTGTGCCAAAGACATTGTAAAAGGAGTAGGCACACCCAGTAGGTGTTCAATCTTCTTGATTCTTAAGTTCATCTCAATGCCAACAACAGCCTGTTGTACCAAGAACCCGATTACATTCTGTCTTGACTCCAGGGATACAACACCCCTGTCAACGACAGAGGGGCCCCCACAAAGTTGCTGCATGATGTCCCGACGAGGGCAGTGCTGTTCTGTGGGTAAACCCGGGATGTCATGAACCTTGACACCCACTGTGGAATGAGTGGACCTACCGGGTCTATTGAGAGATTGTGAGTCTGCTGTTTTCAAGGATTTGGCATGGAGAAAAGCCTCCCTCCACAGGTGTCTGATGCGCTTGTATCTTATGTTTTCTTCAATACGATCGAGACGTGCTTCTTGCATGAAGAGTACAGTTTTAGGTCTGGTCTTTCTGAAGGTAGCACCTGGGGCAATCAGTTTTTCTAGGGGATGCCTTATAACAGGGAATGCAAGGGCATAGGAGTATTGCACCGTCAGTGGCAGCTTTTCATGACTGATTTGGAAACACTTCATAGTCACATGCATTTCCAAAACAGCCCTCTTCTCGATTCCCAGCGTTTCCAGAGGTGTCTTGTGTTGAGAAGATTTATTTTCACCCAGCAGGCTGTGCTTGGAGGACATTTTACTTTCCGTCCATTCACCAGGTAGGGTATTGAAAGAGACACTTATTTTCCCTGAAGATGTGATTTCAGGCTCAGAAAGACATTTGCGCTTCTGCTTTCTCTCCTGAAAAACACTTTGTCCTGTTAACCTGTCCGGCAAAAATACTTTTGTGGCTTGTATAATCAATTTAAGGTGCCTCCATTTCTTGCGAATGATTTTCCTTTTGACATTTCGTTCCAGAGCTTTCTTGTGCTCTTCATCCATGAAGAGCGGGTGACTTGCTTGTACAGTGATCTCATATTGAGGCTTTGGATACACATCCCTCTGGCTGAGCTGTGGTGATGGAGACATTGAAGAATCTAGTGACTCCTGGACCATCTCAGACACCTGACTCTGGCTGAGCTGTGGTGATGGAGA